TCAAAAGCCAAGAGAATAAAAGGGAGTAGCACAGCTAAGGAAAAGGGGGAAAAAATGGCGGACTGCGTTGTTTGGCGACCCCTGTGAAATGGTCGTTCGACCCCAAATGGGGTCCCGACCCACAGGTTGAGAACCACTGATTTAGTGACCATGAGGCACTGAAAAAAGTGACTTATAACCATTTTTCACACTTACGACCATTGCAGCATCCCTGTGGTCACGTGATCAAATTTCGGCCATTTGGCAGCTAGTTCATATTTATGACCGTTGCAGCGGCCGGGGTCACGTGATCCCCTTTTGCGACCTTCTCACGAATCAGTGGGGAAGCCAGATTCGCTTAACAACTGCTAGCTTAACAACTGCAGTGATTCACTTAACAACTGTCTCGCTTAGCAATGGGAATTTGGAACTCAGCTGTGACCATAAGTTTATTTATTAGATTTGTTCACCACCCATCCGCAGTGAATTGATGGCCTTCCCACCCCTGAGGGCCAAGCCAGGGCACGGACCCCACTTCCCCGCCCAGGCCCTTCCTATCCTGGCCCATCACCTTGGATGTTCTCCTGCTTTCTGGGCTTCGCTTCCCGATGAGTAACTTAGTCGCGAGCGCCAGCACCAGCGCCACCACCATGGCTGAGCAGACCGCCAGCCACTCCCACACGAGGGAGAGGGGGCTTTCTGCATCCTGCCCACCGGCTATGCCTTGGTGCGCGGCCGAACCGCCCTGGCACAGGCAGAAAAGGCAGAGGGGGCCACGCATGATGCAGGCAGGTGTGCCCGAGTGGTGCCTGCAGCCCAACTGGATGATGGACTGTGAAGTCACAGATGGGGCAGCAGCTTTATTGCTTAGCAGACTGAGTGACTCTTGGGGGGGGGTTCAATCCTGCCAACTTTATGACTTGGGGGTCTCCGGTTGGCTTTGCCTTATCCACACCTGGAAGACGGCAGCCAATTTTGGTCACCATATCACGAAAAAGATGTTGAGAGTTTGGACAAAATTCAGAGAAGAGCAACTAAGAGGATCCAAGGCCTGGAGACTAAAACATACAAAGAATGGCTGCGGGACTTGGGTTTGGCTAGTCCAGTGATTCTCAACCTTTCTAATGCCCCATAATACAGTTCCCCATGTTGTGGTGACCCCCAAGTGGGTGTGGCCACCAATAAGAGGGAGTAGGACAGCTAGGGAAAAGGGAAAAAAATGGCGGACAGCATGGTTTGGTGACCCCCGTGAAATGGTCATTTGACCCCAAATGGGGTCCCGACCCACAGGTTGAGAACCACTGGGCTAGTCCAAGGAAAAGAAGAAATGGGGGAGACATGATAGCAGTGATCCAGTATCTGAGAGGCTACCACAAAGAAGAGGGGGTCAGGTTGTTCACCAAAAGCACCAGAGGGAAGGATGAGAAACAATGATTGGAAACTGACCAAAGAGAGAAGCAACCTGAAATTAAGGAGAAACTTCCTGACAGTGAGGACAATTAACCAGTAGAACAACTTGCCTCCAGAAATTGTGGATTTTCACTGGAGGTTTTTAAGAAGAGACTGGACAGTCACTTGTCTGAGATGGTATAGGTTCTCCTGCTTGAGCGGGGGCTGGACTAGAAGACCTCCAAGGTCCCTTCCAGCTCTGTTTTATTCTTATCATTCTTCTTATCCTGGCAAGGGCCGAGAGCCACAATTCAGTTTGGCCCATTTTATTTACATGTGGTCATACCTGATGGCTGTTTGTGGTCCTACCGGATATTTGTTTTCATTGGGTAATGCCGATGAAAAGAAAACACTGCATTCATTCATTGGGATTAGTACACAAATGCAACACCACCAGGGTTTAAAGTTATATTTCACAACCTTGGCAATTTCACACGAGTGGACTTCAGCTCCCAGAATTCCCCAGCCAGCTATGCCAAGGTTGAGAAACGCTGGTATTGTGGATAGAATGGGAAGCCAAAGAAGGATTTGAAGTTGTGGTTGAAACACTGGGGAATTCTGGGAGTTGAAGTCCACTCATCTAAAATTTGCAGAGATGGAGAAACACTGAGCTGGCTTGCCAAGGTTGAATGGGGGATTCTGGGTGTTGAAGTCTGCCCAGTTCTGGGGGGAATTCTGGGAGTTGAAGTCCTGCCTTCTTAAACTTGCAAAGATTGACAAACACTGGATCCTTGATCTTCAGATCAGATCAGAATAGAGCTGGAAGGGACCTTGAAGGTCTTCTAGTCCAGCCCCCTGCTCAAGCAGGAGTCCCTAGACCAGGGCTCTTCAACCAGTGGTACGGGTACCACCTGTGGTACATTGGCACCTGGCAGGTGGTACGCAACCATCCTAGAAAAGTGGTAGCGGGGGAGGGGAATGAGCTGAACCGGTGGCAGCACCGCACAAGCCTGAGCAAGAGACGGCTGGAGCTGCAGGGCTGTCAGGGCTCAGCGGAAGCACCAGGATCAGCGCCAGGCTCCAGCTGGAGCTCAGCACTGATCCTGGCGCTTCTGCTGAGCCCAGAAGAAGCGCCGATCAGCTGGATTGTTGCAGCCTCTCCAGGGTCTTGTGATTTACATTCAGATGCTTGGCAACTGATTCCTATTTATGACGGTCACAGTGTCCCAGGGTCATATGAAGTGACCAAAACCTGCTGCAACCACCCAGCAGACGGGGGGGGGAATAAAAACCAAACACCCCCCACCCCATCCCCGCTGCCAATCCTCAACAGAAATGCTCACAACAATGAAAACCTCGGACAGGAGGAAGAGCGCCGACGGGCGGGCAGGCAGGGGTCTTGCTCGGTTGTGGCTTGGGGGGCACTTTTTTCAGTGCCATTGTAACTTCGAACAGTCACTAAGCGAACTGTTGTAAGTCGAGGACTACCTATACTTTATCCCTTTTTTCCTTTTTTTTTTGGGTCATCAAGTTTTTGACACCTTGATAGGTGGTCCTCGGATGTTGCCATATCCTAAAAGTGGTACAATGGGTGAAGAGGTTGAAAAGCCCTGTTCTAGATCATCAAGGGAGAAGAGTTACAAAATTACAAGAAAGGGTAAGGATACAGTCTTACTAAGGTGCTTGAAAGCAGAAAATACAATTTTAAAATCTTTATCTGATCCATTTGTCCAGAATGGCATAGGTTTAAGCAGCAGGGCTGGACTAGAAGACCTCCAAGGTCCATTCCAATCCTATGATTCTATAGTCTATTATTATGGGAGTTGGATCTTCTCCTCTTCACACAGCTAGCTATACTCAAATGAAATTAGTGGGTTTGGGATGCAGTGCCTTGTGTGAATTCAAGGAAGTGTGTTTCTCCAATAAACCTGGGTCAGTTTTAAGACCGTGTTTGCCAACCTAGGCAATTTCCAGATGTGCAAACATCAGTGCCCAGAATTCTCAGCGATGGGCATTGCTGTTGGGGGAATTCTGGGTGTGGAACTGCACTCCACTGGGTGGTGTGGCATTGCCCAGATATCCCTTGTGACCAGCAATTTGTGGTTCTTTGCAAGCTGGGTGGAGAATTTTGAACAGAAGGACTGGATTTCCAGTTCCGTTTCTGCTTTGGCTGCTTTTTCCTGCCTTCAGGGGCAGTCCCAGCTACAATGCAATGTAGCAGTGTGGACCAGAAATTTCTGAGACTCAAACAAAGTTGGATCTCCATTGGGTTCACACGACTGGCTACTTGCTAGAGCAGAATCCGGTTGGATAGCATTTCAGCAGGCTGTGGCAAGTCGGCCTTCATCTTAACACACTGGTCCGTATTCACACAACCATGTCACTTACCCACCCATCGCTCCATTTTGCAGAGAAAGCTTGCTTAGTTTTACTGTACCTTTGCATGGCTTTGTTGATTGTGCAAACCCAGCCCAATAACATTAACTGAGGGCTTAGTGCACGCGGTGGGTCCAAGGAGTGGATTGATTTAGTAACCAGGTTAAAGCATAGATTTATATTTTAATTAATCTCATTTAAACCGTGTGACACAAAACCAGGAAGATTAAGTCATTATGGCTCAATCACATTGGAGCCCTGGACGCATGTGATGAAGATCCCGGCAAGCAAAGCACATTATTAGAATCACAGGGATGGAAGGGACCTTGGAGGTCTTCTAGTCTAACCCCTGCTCAAGCAGGAGATCCTAGACCAGGGGTAGGCAACCTTGCTGTTTTATGACTCGTGGACTTCAACTCCCAGAATTCCTGAGCCAGCCATGCTGAGGGGAAAGGGAGAGGTTTCTAAGTTGAGCCAGGCTGGCTCAGGAATTCTGGGAGTTGAAGTCCACAAGTCATAAAAGAGCCAAGGTTGCCTACCCCTGTCCTAGACCATTTCAGACAAGTGGCTGTCCAATCTCTTTTCAAACCCTCCAGTGATGGAGCATCCACAACTTCTGGTGGCAAGCAGTTCCACTGGTTAATTGTCCTCACTGTTAGGAAGTTTCTCCTTAGTTCCAGGTTGCTTCTCTCCTTGATGAGTTTCCATCAGTTGCTTCTTGTCCTGCCTTCAGGAGCTTTGGAGAAGAGCTTGACTCCCTCTTCTTTGGGGCAGCCACTCAGATACTGGAAGACTGCTGTCATGTCCCCCCTCGTCCTTCTCTTCATTAAACTGGACATCCCCAATTCCAGCAGCCGTTCCTTATATGTTTTAGCCTCCAGTCCCCTAATCCTCTTTGTTGCTCTTCTCTGCACTCTTTCCAGACTCTCAACCTCTTTTTTTATATCTTGGTGACCAAAAGTGGGTGCAGCATTCCAAGTGTGGCCTCTTACATTCCCCCATCCCAAGTCCACCCAGCGGCCAAAGCGAACAAAGATCGCCTCTTCCACCCCCCTAACTCAACCCTACAAGGGGGGTCTCTCCTGGGGGGGAGAGAGACATTTTTTTTGCCCTGCAATCCCGGGACGCCAGTCCCACCGTAGCCGTTCAGACGTGCAACCCGTGTCAACCCCTGGTCGTGGGAACGCCGCCCCCGCCTCGGAAGGAGTCGCGCAGGGGGAGGGACCTGTCCTCGCCTCTCCCCCCCCCTCCGAGTCACGTGAGCCAGAAAAAGCAGGCCAACATGGCGCAGTCCTAGCCAGCTTCATCGTCGCCCAAGCCCGGCCGGGAGGTTAAGGCAGAGGGAGAGGAAGAAAAAAAAAGAAGAAGAAGAAGAAAGGAAGAGAAAAAGGGAGGAGGAGGAGGAAAAGGTGGGGGTCGTTGCATTGCACGAAGCAGGCGCAGGCAGGAATCCGGCCCGGTGAGGTGGGGAGGGGGGGGAGGCTGCCGGATTGATGCTGCAATGGCTGACTGGGGGGGGGGTTTGCAAAAGGCCCCCCGCCCACCCCTCCTTTGCAAAAGGACCCACAGCGCAGCGTGGACCTCGCGCCCGGTGCAATCCGGATTTGCAGCGGAGCAGCGGCTGGTCCTTTGCTCCGGGGCTGCAGGTCCTACCTTCCTCTCCCGCCCCCCCAATCCCCCGTCCCGGGGGCGGCTCGGTGCATGCCTCTCCCCCCCCCTCCTTGCAGACCCCTCCCCGCCTTTCAAGGCAAAGTTTGGGGGCGCCCACGAGGATGGGAGGACGCGCGTGGAGTAGGTGGCCTCGACCCTCCATCGCCCCCCCTCCAGACAAGGCCGACTTGAGATCCCATCAGCCAGGCCGGGGGGGGGGGGGCGGGCAGGGGAGGATGGAAGTCCAAGCAGTTGGCCGCTGGTGCCAACTTGAGATTGAGGTTGAAAAAAGCGGGCAAGGGGAGGGAAGGGGTGGAAATCTGGGGGGGGGGGGCAAAGTTGGACCCCGATGTGAAAGTGCTTTGAAAATGGAGTCAGTCTTGTGTTGAGGGTCAGGGTGTTTCCCCCCCCCCCATAATAGAGACTGTGTATGTTCTGTGCAACACACATAGAGCCCATTGAGTTGGTCTAGCGCAGGGTAGCGCAAGGGAAGTAAAAAGCAGAGACATCACCCTGCCAACAAAAGTACGTATAGTCCAGGCCATAGTTTTCCCAGTTGCAATGGATGGCTGTGAAAGTTGGACCATAAGAAAGGCTGAGCGCCAAAGAATGGAGGCCTTTGAACTCTGGGGCTGGAGAAGACTCCTGCGAGTCCCTTGGACTGCAAGGCGATCCAACCGGTCGGTCCTAGAGGAGATCAACCCCGACTGCTCTTTAGAAGGCCAAATCCTGAAGTTGAAACTCAAATACTTTGGCCACCTAATGAGAAGGAAGGACTCACTGGAGAAGGGCCTAATGCTGGGAAAGATGGAGGGCAATAGAAGAAGAGGACGACAGAGAAGGAGGTGGCTGGATGGAGTCCCTGAAGCAGGAGGTGTGAACTTAAATGGACTCCAGAAGATGGTAGAGGACAGGAAGACCTGGAGGAACATTGTCCATGGGGTCGCGATGGGTCGGACACGACTTTGCAATTAACAACAACAACAGCGCAGGATTCCTCAGTCTTGGCGACTTGAAGCTGTGTGGAGGTCAACTCCCAGAATTCCCCAGCCAGCATGCTTTAAGATGGGTGGACTTCGCTTCCCAGAATTCCCCAGCCAGCCTGCTAGCTGGGGAATTCTGGAAGTTGAAGTCTACACAGCATCAAGTTTCTGCGACTGAGAAACACTGCACTAAGTGCACTTATGGGAACTTGAACTCTACCGACCAAGCAATCTTACCTTGCAAGGTTAGCCAATGGGTGCTCTCCAGATGTTGCAGACTACAAATTCCATCAATCTTTGGGGAAGGTGCTACTGTTTGGGGTGGATAGGCCTTCGATCAAACATCTGGAGGGGTCCAGCTGGCTGGATTGGACCAGCTGAAGGCGATTCCTCTCATGCCGGACACATGCTGGACTGGTGAGTTGGAATTCTGCACATCTGGAAGGAACAGATGGTCCTCAGTTGAAAACTGAAAACATTTGTAACCTCCCAGAAAAGTCCCAGTCAATGAGGAATGCTGGGAGTTATAGCTGAACAACATCTGGAGTTCCAAAGGCTGCCCAAGTTGATCCTCAGTGAACTAGCCTGGTGAGGATAACTTCTACCATAGAGAGCTAGAATGGATGCATGAAAAGGAAACTCCAAGGTCATCTAGTCCAACCCCAAGCTCAGGGCCCACTAAACTGTCCCTGCCAGAGGGACACGTAGCCCTAAATTTAGGAAACCCCCACCAAGGGCACTCAACACTTCAACCATTTTAAGTGCATGCCTGTTATCAAGCATCCGAATCACATCCTGTAACTGCACAGATGCTGCAATGATTTGTAAGTTTGAGGACCCGTCATAAGTCACTTTTGGGGGGGCTGTCATAACTTCAAACTGCTGAATGAATGGTTATAAGTTAAGGACTACCTTTATTTTTTGGTCAGAAAGAGCCATATAAAAAATATGTGTCGTTACTACTGAGATCAGTGGAACTGCATTGTCTCATAGACAAGGTGGAGCTAAATGATTGATTTGATTATTGGCAGCTTCCTAAAAGCCAATAATTGTGCAGGGATAATTGGGATACTGTTCAGGGCCCGTCAAGGATGACACCAAAGTTGTGTCTACCAGCTCGCATTAAAATGGCTAAGTTCATGGAATACATGATGACTGAATTAACCCATTTCCTAGGTTTGCCCACCACCTGAACAAGCAAAAGAGAGCAGTGTAGCAAGCTAATCCAACATAACCACCCCTAACCAAGATCAAAACAAACTACTCTTGTGTGGGCAGTCCTCTTCAACTGACCAGGGATAAGTGTAATGTCTGAACGTCTTTGGATTTACTCTTGTTCTCTTCTTCCTTTCTTCCAAGGGATTCCTGGCAGGTGGGGCCCCCAGAATCATCATGGTGAAGATCTTTGTTGGGGGGCTTTCTCCTGTGGTCACAGCCGAAGAGCTGCGAAAGCTGTTTGAGCAGTACGGCCAAGTGAACGAGTGCGACATTTTGAAGAATTTTGCCTTCGTCCACATGGAGAAGGAGGACGAGGCCCACCAGGCCATCAGCACGTTGCACAAGAGCGAATTCTACGGGACGCACTTGACTGTGGAGTACGCCACCTCCAAGATCCGCAACGCCACCAAGATCTACGTGGGGAACGTCTCGGCCAAAGCCACCACCGCCCAAATCCGCCAACTCTTCGAGCGCTTCGGCAAAGTGGTGGAGTGCGACATTGTCAAGAACTTCGCCTTTGTCCACATGGCCAAAGAGCGGGAAGCCATGGATGCCATCTTGCATCTCAACGACACTCCGCTGGAGGATCAGAAAATTTTTGTCACCCTTTCCAAGAGCAACAGTTCCCTCCGGGCCACGAAAGGGGCCTCTGTGCCCACCCCGCCCACCCCGACGCCCAGCTACTACTTCTCCAGGGGACGCGTGCCCGCTGCACCGGCCACCTATTCGCCCTACTGTGCCCGTGCCTGGTATGATCGGGAGTATTGTGATCAGTACGCATACGAGCTCTACGACCGCGCACGAGCAGCGTATGACCGAGCCCTCCCCTCTGCTCCAGCAACTGCTTACAGAGAAAGGAGCCCCGTGGGGCGGAGGACATCTACCCCCACTGCTGTAGTGGCCCAATATGCTGACCCCTATACTGCAGCGGCCGCTGCTGCGGCTGCGGCCGCCGCAACTGCTGCAGCAAACCAGACGTACAGCCAAGCCTACAGCCAACCCGGGTACGCAGCTGCTGCGGCAGCTGCAACGTACTCTCAGTACAGTCTCGGAACCGCCTACAATGTGGCAGAGTACTATGAGAGGTACGCAAGCGCTTACGCTGCCCAGTACGCCCAGACATTCTGAGGGCGCTGCACCCTTCCAACTGTAAGTGCCCCGGGATACTCATTTGCATGGGGGGGGTGCAGGGAAGGGAGTCAGGGAGGTGGGAGGGACACGGGTTCCTTTTCTGCGCTCTCTGTCGCTGTGGGTGACAAATGACAGACAAAATCTGCACAGCTGACTTAGAACACAGTTCCCCAACCTTTGCAGCTCTGAGGACCAGCAGGAGGGGGGGGAGGGGATGGTTTTGTGAAAGTGGCAGGCAAAGCATGCATGCATGCATGCGTGCAGCTCCATTTGTGGAAGCGGCGGGCAAGCGTGTCCGCCGCTCACGCAGATGCAGCTATGTGCATGCACTTGCCCGCTGCTCATGCAAATGGGGATGCGTGCACACGCTCACCTGCCACTTCCCCAGCCCGGTTCCAAATAGCTCAAGGCCCAATAGTGGACGGTGGCCCGGGGACCTCTGATTTAGGAGTCAGAGCACCAAAGGGCCCTACAAGGCAGTGTGTTTATACTTGGCCTGATTGTAGGTCTCCATGTCCATCAGCCTTCCCTGGAGTTTGGGAACCAGCCTCTGTCCAGAAAGTATCACACTGCTATTTTGACCACTTCTCCCCAAGCCTGTGCAGGTAGTCCTTGATATATAACCCCAACTGAGTCACAAAATTCCGTAGCTAAGCAAGGCAGTTGTTAAGTGAGCTGTGCCCCATTTTACAACAGTCTTGGCCACAGTTTTTTTAAGCCGGTCATTGCAGTTGTTATATAAAGCGTGCAATCGTATAGTCAGACTGGTTTCTCCCATTGACTTTGCTCATCAGAAGCTAGCTGGGAAGGTTGCAAATCAAATCGTGATCACATGACCCCGTAACACAAGGGTAGGCAACCTTGGCTCTTTTATGACTGGTGGACTTCAACTCCCAGAATTCCTGAGCCAGCCATGCTGAGGGGAAAGGGAGAGGTTTCCATGCTGAGCCATGCTGGCTCAGGAATTCTGGAAGTTGAAGTCCACGAGTCATGAAGGGGCCATAGTTCCCCCATGCTGGCTCAGGAATTCTGGGAGTTGAAGTCCAACAAGTCATGAAGGGGCCTAGGCCTAGGTCAGGGGTAGGCAACCTTGGCTCTTTTATGACTCGTGGACTTCAACTCCCAGAATTCCTGAGCTAGCATGGCTCAGCTTGGAAACTCTCCCTTTCCCCTCAGCATGGCTGGCTCAGGAATTCTGGGAGTTGAAGTCCACGAGTCATGAAGGGGCCATAGTTCCCCTATGCTGGCTCAGGAATTCTGGGAGTTGAAGTCCATGAGTCATAAAAGAGCCAAGGTTGACTACCTCTGCTGTAACATCATAAGAGCTGTAGCCATCACAAATATAGGCTGGATGCTGAAACCTTCATAAATTCAGGCCAGATACCAAGAAATTTTGATCCCATGACTGTGGGGATGATGCAACGGGCATGTGAAAACCAGTCATAAGTCAGATTTTTTTGGGTGCCGTTATAACTTCAAATGGTCACTAAATGAATGGCTGTAAGTTGCGTGCCCGTCCTGGCTGTGGCTGAGAAGCACTATAGTTCAGTCATTTCTAGAAGACCCTAGGTCAGTGGTGGCGAACCTATGGCACGGGTGCCAGAGGCGGCACTCAGAGCCCTCTCTGTGGGCATGCGCACTGTCGCCCCAGTCCTAGGCCTTCCGCTGGGTTTTATAAAAACCTTTTCGCTTTAGGCCTCTGCCACCGTGTGCAAAAAAAATAAAAAAGGTTCAATCAATCAGTCAATTTCAACTTCTCGCGGGAAAAAAAAGATCTTGCAAAGTTGGAATTGATTGATTGAACTTTTTAGTCCCACCCAGTCTGCCGTTACCACCGCAGCCACGCCCACCCAATGGGCCACACCCACCCGGCACCCGACGATGCATAAGTGGGTTTTGGGTTGCAGTTTGGGCACTCGGTCTCTAAAAGGTTCGCCATCACTGCCCTAGGTTCCCCGCCTTGTTCTTCCCCCATGTGGTATCCGACAAGCAACCAGGTTGTTTCCAGACAGGTGTGATTTCTGGGATTGATGCGCGTGTTTTGCAATCCATGCGTACCCCTAAACTACGTAGATTTCTTTACAGGCTCTTCCTGGGCAGACTCGGAGCGATGTCTCCCGGCCGATCAGCCGAGCACTGACTTCCAAGGTTGGTGATGCTACATTTTGTGTGTCCCTCCTTTCCTCCCCCCATCCTTTCTCTTCCTTCCTTCTTTCCTTCCCCCACGTTTTGATCCGGTCCGGTCGAAGAACTGCCACGCCAACCCCGCCTTGCGAAACTGCGATGGGGCCGAAGACGGTGTTGTCCGTGTCTGGTTTTTCCGAACTCTTCCCTCCGGCCCGGAATGCACACAACGGCTCCCCCCTCCGCCAGCTCCAGTCTTTGCTTGCTGTGTGTTTTGCGTGCTAAGCTTTGATCCCTGCCACCGCCACGATGCCGGCCTCTCTAAACCAGGCTTTTGAAGGGGTTTTTTTTTTTTTTTTTTTGCTTTGCTGTATTCTTGGGTGCTCCTTGGTTTGATCGATATCTTTCTTTTTTCCTTTGATTTGTTCTCGTTTTAATTTTGTACAACCAGTGAACGAAGTGGGTCGTGGCAGCAAGTTGTGCGCTTCCCTCTCCCTGATTTTTAAGATGTGAACGATTAAACGGCTTTTACAGAACCTCTCGCGTCCGCCTCGTCAAATTTGCGTTGTACTCGCAACCCTCCTCGCCTCCTCGATCCGACTTCACCTCTGCCGCCTGCTTCCCACTCCTCTCTCTGCATGGGACGGAACTGGCAATCCGGATTTGCCGTGTGGTGCACACCTTGCGCGCTCCCACTGCCTCCACCGCCCCTCCTCCCCTTTGCTTCCCAGAAAGAGGGTCCTCCGCGCTGCCGCCTCCTTCCCCGCGAGGGGGCTGCCCTCGCCACTAACCCCCCTCCCCAGCAGGGAGAGTCGGCCGAACCGTTGCGCAGTACGAAGCCGTGGTCTTGTGCGAATGCCGGATTCCGTCGCTTTTGGCTTTGAGACTAACCGACCACTGCCAGGCCACTGATGCTGTTTAACCCTGTCCCCCTCCCCGCATTGATTTCTCTCTCTCTGTGGACAGCTGTTTCTGGAAGAAGTCAGGGGGTTTGGATGCCCCCCCCCGCCCCCCATCTTCCAAGCAGGCAGAGCCGATCTGAAGCCACGCGGTGCCTTTTGTTCTGCCGACAAGAAGCTGCTTCAACCCAGCCAAAGGAAATATCCTGTCCTTCTGTCACACTCTTAAAATAGGCACCGGGAAACACACAGGGTGTTCTGAAAATTGCCATTTTTCTCTTGGGTTCTTGATGTTCTCGGCGCTCGGAGAACACCCAGTTCTGAGTTACAGATCTTCCCCTACAGTTGGAATTGCTGCTTTTGCATCCTGTATCAATCCTCCCCTTCCCAGATCCGGGGAAATGTGAGAGGCAGGTGGTCCTTGACTTATAAACACAGCTGAGTCCAAAATTTCTGTTCGGAAGCGAGACAGTGGTTAAGTCAATTTTGCCCCACGTTACGACTTTCCTTGCCGCAGCCGTTAAGGGTGTCAGTGCCGTTCAGTTAGTAATGTAGTTGTGAAGCGAATCTGGCCAGAAGGTCACAAAAGGGGATCACGTCATAAAAAAAACGAGTCTTGAATTTTGATCACGGGACCCCCGGTGACGCTGCAGTGGTCGTCAGTGTGAAAAACGGTCCTAAGTTACTTTTCCCAGTGCTGTTGCAACTTTGAACGGTCACTAAACAAACGTAAGTCGAGAACTATTTTGTACATTGGAAATCCAGACAGGTTGACCGACAGCTTGGCTTGGAATTCTGGGAACTGAAGTCCCAAACTTCTGGACGCATTTTGGAGGACAGGAAGCTGGCTTATAATGCAAAATGGTTCCTACCCTGTCCTTCCTGCTCCTGGAACGGGGGTTCTGTTTTTTTCCAGCAGTCAGCTGCTGAATGATGACCACTTGCAAGACCGCTTTGGTGGATTGGCATAAAGGGGAGGGACAGGCAGGAATTGGGGAGGGCAGCCGTATTTATTTATTGTATTTAATTTATACGCTGCCTATCTCATTTTTGAGTGACTCTAGGTGACTTACAAACAAAGGAGATTTGGGTATAGGGTGGGCAACTGGACAGCCACTCCCAATTTCTACCCCGTCCCCCCGAAATGCAGGCTGGCTGCCTAAAGCGTCATCTCTGTCTCCTGAATGAGGAGGAGGATGACGAAGAGGAAGGATGGAGAAGAGAGAAAAGGGTATATAGGTAGTCCTCGATTTATGACCACAGTTGAGCCCAGACTTTCTGTTGTTAAGCGAGACATTCCTTAAGTGAATTTTGCCCCAATTTATGACCTTTCTTGCCACAGTCGTTCAGAGAATGGCTGCGGTTGTTAAATTAGAAACACAGTCGTTAAATGAAAATCTGGCTTCCCCCATTGACGTTTTGCTTGTCAGAAGGCCACGTGACCCTCCAGAACACTGCCACCGTCATAAATACAAGTCGGTTGCCAAGTGTCCGAACATGCTGCACGACGATGCTGCAACGGTCGTTAAGTGTGAAAAACGCCGTCAGTCGCCTTTTTCAGTGCTGTTGTACTTCTGAACAGACAAATGAACTGTTGGAAGTTGAGGATTAGCGGCTGTGTCACCCATTTGGGGCTGTGTCCGAAGGGTCATGGGTCAAGACCATATTCATACAATCTGCAGCCAAAGCCAACCAACCTTGTGCCTCCATTAGATCAAATTTTAAATGGTCGCTAAGCGGCCACTTTGTAAAGCTCTTGATAATTGTGCCCAATTTTGAAGTAAGACGTAACCCTGTTCCCAGCCTGGGGTTGCCAGATGTTCTAAGAGTGATTCTCAACCTTTTTAATGCTGTCGTAAGTCGAGGACTACTCAACCGGTTGTAAGTCGAGGACTACTCAACTGGTGCAGCACCGTTTGCAGAATGGGACTTTTGGCGGGATCAGCAGGGCAGAGACAGCCTGGACAATTCCTATTGGCTTTTGAAAGCCAATAGAATTAGACTCTATTCAAGAGAGTCTATTCTATTGGCTTTCAAAAGCCAATAGAATAAAAGGAAGTAGCACAGCTAAGGAAAAGGAGGAAAAAAATGGCGGACTGCGTTGTTTGGTGACCCCCATGAAATGGTCGTTCGACCCCAAATGGGGTCCCGACCCACAGGTGGAGAACCGCTGTTCTAAGATGTCCCTTTTGGGGAATTGCAATCGGAATAACAGAAGGGACGTTGAAGGTCTTCTAGTCCAACCCCCTGCTCAAGCAGGAGATCCTATATCATTTCAACATGTTGGTTGTGTTCTCCATGTGCTTAGCCAGGTATGTACGTTACCTGTATTCACGGAGAAGCTCAGATAGGTTTCATCCTGGTTTGCTTTTCATGCGGTTTTGGAGGGTCCACCTCAGATTATTGTACGAAGCCTCCCAAATGGGACATGATTTATTCTGGTTTGTCTGTTGACTCCAAAGATTCTGGGCAGCTAAACCACATATGAAATATTCAACTAAAACAAGAACAGTCTAGACAACAATAACAGAGTTGGAAGAGACCTCGCTAGTCCAGGGGTCTCCCAACTTAGCCACTTTAAGACTCGCGGACTTCAACTCCCAGAATTCCCCAGCCAGCGCTGGCTGGGGAATTCTGGGAGTTGAAGTCCGCAAGTCTTAAAGTGGCTAAGTTGGGAGACCCCTGTTCTCATCCAACTTCCTGATCAAGCAGGAGATCCTTACACCCAATTTAAAAAGTAAACAATCACAATAGTCCTGGGACAGAGTTTTCACAAACACACTAAGGTCAGCTCTTCAGACAACCTTAGAAAATGGATACCGTGTGCTATTCCAGATGTTAGGGGCTGTGACCGGCACATTTCTCAGCCCCCCAAAGGTGACCGTGCTTAATCGAGGGGATGTGGGGTTGGACCCCCTGCCTGGATGTAACCAAGGGGTGCAAAAACAATTGGGGTGTCTCTCAAGTAAACCAGTCTGCAAGCCCTGCACGAATTCATAGGAAGGGATCTTAATTGCACCTGGAAACTGAGAGGCAGTGCAGCGGAGGTGACATGCAACAAAGCAACGAAGTCCTCAACTTACATCAGTTTGTTTAATGACCATTCAAAGTTACAAAGGAAGGCACGTTGCAGCATCCCCATGGCCATGTAAGGGGGATGCAGGTCCTTGACTTACAACAGTCCATTTAATGCCTGTTCAAAATCACAGCGGCACTGAAAAAAGTGAAAGTTTTTTGCACAAGTGTTGCAGCCTCCGTGTGGCCACGTGATCAAAATTCAGACCCTTAGCAACGGACTCATATTTATGACGGTCGCACTGTCCCGGTCCCTTTTGCGACCTTTTGACCGGATTCAGAAGGGGAAAGACGGATTCACTTAACAACCGTGTGACCGTGTTAAAATGGAGCAAAATTCACTTAAGAACTGTCTTTCTTAGCAACAGAAATTTGGGCTCAGTTGTGCTCGTAAGTCAAGGACTACACATACTGCTCGTATTGCTGCATTTTTGAGCCAGTTGTAGCTTCCGGATGGTCTTCCAGGGCAGCCTCACATAGAGTACACTGCAGTTTCGGGCAGTCCTTGACTTATGACCATTTATTTACCAACTGTTTGAAGTTAGAATGGTGCTGGAAAAAGTGATTTACAACCAGTCCCCAGAGACACTGCAGCATCCCCACAGTCACGTGGTCGAAATTTGGGCAGGGGACAAGCTTGCAGTGTCCCCAGGTCATGTGGTCACCATTTGTTCCCAGTGACCAAGCAGCAAAGAATGAGGAAGCTTAACCACCGCACAATTCGTTTAACGACTGCAGTATAAGAAGAAAAATCAATCCTGCAATGCACGGGTCCCCAAACTCCGGTCCGTGAACCAGTACCAGGCCATGACATGCCAGCAACCAGTCCGCACAAACAAGCAAAGCCCCATCTGCGAGACGCAGGCAGCACGCAAAACCACGTACTCTCCGGTCTGCGGAAAAACCTTTCTCTGCAGAACCGGTCCCTGATGCCCAAAAGGTTGAGGACCTCTGCTGTAATGACTCACTGAATGATCACACCACTTAGCGGCAGAAATTCTGGCCCGTATTGTGCTCATAAGCCGAGGACTGCTTGTAATCCACCTGCAAGGTGACCTGGGTGTGAGTGACAGATTGAGGAGAAAAAGGGCACATCTGGGGCACCAGATAAATCTCGGCAAAGGCTCTCCTGCCCTCAACCGTGACTAGCTCCTTGAACAGCAGCTGTGTATTGGTAGTCCTCGGCTTACGACCACAATGGAGCCTTGCTAAGCAAGATGGTTGTTAAGTGAGTTATGCCCCATTTTGTGACCTTTCCCACCACAGTGGTTAAGTGAATCATCGCAGGTATTAAGTTAGTAACCCATTAAGTGAATCTGGCTTCCCTATTGATTTTGCTGGTCTAGAACAGTGGTTCTCAACCTTTTTAATGCCGCGACCCCCAACCGGTCATAAGTTGAGGACTACTCAACCAGTCGTAAGTCGAGGACTACTCAACTGGTGCAGCACCATTTGCAGAATGGGACTTTTGGCGGGCTCAGCAGGGCAGAGACAGCCTGGACAATTCCTATTGGCTTTTGAAAGCCAATAGAATTAGACTCTATTCAAGAGAGTCTATTCTGTTGGCTTTCAAAAGCCAATAGAATAAAAGGGAGGAGCACAGCTAAGGAAAAGGGGGAAAAAATGGCAGACTGCGTTGTTTGGCGACCCCCGTGAAATGGTCGTTTGACCCTAAATGGGGTTCTGACCCACAGGTTGAGAACCACTGGTCTAGAAAGTCACAAAAGGGGGATCATGTGACCCCGGGACACTGCGACCGTCGTAAATATGAACACAGTTGCCAAGCGTCCGAATTTCGATCACGTGACCAAGGGGATGCTGCAACAGTTGTGTGAAAAATGGTCATCTGCCCCGACTCAGTGACATTTTAGCTTTGAATGGTCATTAACAAATTGTTATAAGTTGAGGACTACCAGAACTCAGGAGCCCTCAATCTTGCGAGGATTGTGTTCCTCCCCATCCAGATGGGCAGTGAACTATGATCAACAGTGACCATTCCCCTTTCTGCGTTTTCGCAACATGATAATCCCTCGATTCAAGTTTAGCACAGTGGTTCTCAACCTGTGGGTCAGGACCCCATTTAGGGTCGAACGACCATTTCACGGGGGTCGCCAAACAACGCAGTCCGCCATTTCCCCCCCCCCCTTTTCCTTAGTTGTGCTCCTCCCTTTTATTCTATTGGCTTTTGAAAGCCAATAAAATAGACTCTCTTGAATAGAGTCTAATTCTATTGGCTTTCAAAAGCCAATAGGAATTGTCCAGGCTGTCTCTGCCCTGCTGAGCCCGCCAAAAGCCCCAGTCTGCAAACGATGCTGCACCAGTTGAGTAGTCCTCGACTTACGACCGGTTGAGTAGTCCTCGACTTATGACCAGTTGGGGGTCGCGGCATTAAAAAGGTTGAGAACCACTGGTTTAGCACGTTGTAGGAACAGGGATTGTTATGTTAGCGTGTTCTCAGCTGAGTTTCTCTGCCCAAAGATCAAGAGCTTAGCTTCTCTGCAGTACAGGGAGTCCTCGGTTCACGACAAACCGGAACTGGAACTTCCGTTCTTAAGCGAAATGGGTGTTAAGGAAGTCCTAAGTTCATGACTTTTTTTATCATGGTTGTTAAGCCAATCTCCGTGGTGGGAGTGAAGAAGGCGGTCGTAAAGTGAATCCAGCTTCCCTCATTGACTTTGCTTCCCTCATTGACAATCACCTGACCCGGGGAGGCTGCAACTATTATAAATACAAGTTTTGAATGTGTGGAGATGTTGCAGTGGACGTTAAGTGTGAGGACCCGGTCATAAGCCACTGTTTTCAGCACCGTTGCGTCTTCAAGTGGTTACTAAACAAACGGTCGTAAATCGAGGACTACTTGTAAGAAAGAAATGCTGTTTGGTTTTAGATTCTCCTCCTCCTTTCCCCAAATCCTGCCTCCATCCCCACCCAGCAAGTTAAAAGGATCCGAACTGATAACTGAGGGATGCCTACCTCGCAGGGGGGATTTGAATCCAGCGCTCCTGGGGCAGAGGTAAGCGACCTCTTTTTTCCTACCTGCTAAAACAGTGGTGTCCAGCCTTGGCAACTTGAAGACCTGCGGACCTCAAGTCACCAAGGTTGGACACCACTATGCTAAAATCACTCCTTTCAGCATGTCAGAAGCACTTGAAGATTGACGCTGTCAAAACTTATCTCCAGTTCACTTTCTGTCTTTTTTCTTCCCTCGTGATAAAGGCGTCCGTTTTTCTGCCTCATTCTTCGAAACCAGGGATAGGCAACCTTGGCTCTTTTAGGATGTGTGGACTTCAACTCCCAGAACTCCTGAGTCAGCATGGCTGGTTCAGGAATTCTGGGTATTGAAGTTCACAAGTCATAAAAGAGCCAAGGTTGCCTACCCCTCTTCTAAATCTATGGGGGTGGTGTTTTTTTGTTTTAGCTGACTTTGCAGCTGGTGGTGCAACTCTTCCCAATGTTTATTTTGTTATTCGATTTTCCTTTAATTTTTATATTATTCGATGCATCTTTCCAAGACTCTCCGGCGATCTGCACATCCCTCCCCAAAAGAGGAACGGAATGCGAGACAGAAAACCTGGCCTCTGCTAAGAAGACTTGGCCATGAAAAACAGGATGTAAACAAAGCAGGTAAAAGGGTTGCATCCACACAGCCCACTAAACTTGGTTACGTGAATGGATGGCTTTCATTTCTGTCTTTTGGCCTTACCGCGTTTGGAAAACACAACCCATACATAGAACCTAGAACAGTACGGTTGGAAGGGACCTTGGAGGTCTTCTAGTCTGACCCCCTGCTCAAGTTGGAAGCCTTATATCATCCTAGTCAAATGATTCTCCATTTATTTCTTGAAATCCTCCAGGGATGGAGCACCCAAAACCTCTGGAGGCAAGCCGTCCCACTGATGAATATATTAATAGGATTAATACGGATAGGATGAGGTTCCTCCAATTGTGCAAACCCACAACATCCATTCATAAAGTAACCAGGTTTAATTGTGTTTTGTGGATGCAACCGGCGAACGTAAGTAACACCCCGGTTTATCTGGAAGATATTCGCTCCCAGGCTCTTCTTAGCAAGACATGTTCAAAAGCTCATTTTTGTCTTACAACCAGTTGACAGAGGATGGAAAAAAAGGCAGACATGCATGGAGGATTCTGGGAGTTTAAGTCCACAGGTCTTGACGTTGACAGATTTGAATAACCCGGCGCTAAAAGGTGAACTTCAGCATCCTCAAAAGAGAAGCAGCTGGTTTTGAGATTATTTCTCTATATATCAGGGGTTCTCAACCTTGGCAACTTTAAGACTTGTAGACTTCAACTCCCAGAATTCCTCAGCCAGCTTTGCTTTGCTTTTGAGTGTGGATGGAGTGGGTGGGGCCTACTGGGTGGGTGTGGCCAGCTCTACATCGTTCGCGTCAAGGGGGCCTGTGGGGGCCTGGGCAGGAGTGGGACAGATCTGAGGGTCTCTGGCAGAAGGGGGTGGGACCCGGGGCAAGCGCCAAGGCACGGTCCATTTCTTCATTCCTCACAAAGGGGGACACCTCCCCAGCATGCACCCAGGGGGCAGGGGCGACGTGGCAGGGGCCAGTTCCTCGCTGTTTCCAGACAGCCTTATGGAGCTAAGACTGAATGCGTTTCAGCATAGATGGCCACCACAAAATTGTACATTGGCTCCCGGTCGGCCTGGGCCAGGGCCAAGGCAGCGGGGGGCGTTCCCTCACTTTTTCCAGGATGGCTTCGCGGGCCACATGAAACCATTTCGCGGGCCGCATCCGGCCCCCGGGCCTTGTGTTTGACATGTCTGCCCTATCATAAAATCCTAAGAGTGGAAGGAAGGTCTTCTTGTCCAACCCCCTGCTCAAACAGGAGAACCTAGAGCAGGGGTTCTCAACCTTTTTAATGCCGCAACTCCCAACCGGTTGTAAGTTGAGGACTACTCAACCGGTCGTAAGTCGAGGACTACTCAACTGGTGCAGCACCGTTTGCTGGGCTTTTGGCGGGCTCAGCAGGGCAGAGACAGCCTGGACAATTCCTACAGGCTTTTGAAAGCCAACAGAATTAGACTCTATTCAAGAGAGTCTATTCAAGATTCGCCTTTTCACAAATGCAAAGGTGGGAGGGACGATTAGGCAACCGAGAGCCAAGGCCACTTGAAGGAGAAATGGACTGTTTCCCTAACAAAAAGAAATATTACTATTGGACAATGTGAACACCCGGTGGGTGGGGGTGAGGGAATTTGTTGTTTAATTAGGTAAGTTTTTGAGCGGAAAAGCCAGAGCTGGTTTTGCTTCTTCGATGCCAATGTAAATTTTCAGTAAAGTATTATACTCTTGGTAAAATCATGTCTCAGGAGTTTCTTTTTACGGAGATGGCAACTGGATAGTTGATCCTTGGAAGTTTTCTAGTCTAAGGGGTCTCCCAACTTAGCAACTTTTAAGACTTGTGGCCTTCAACTCCCATGCGCTGGCTGGGGAATTCTGGGAGTTGAAATCCACAAGTCTTAAGGTTGCCAAGAGGTTGAAAAACAAACACGTCATTAAGCATTACAGAGCAGCTTTCTAAGTATTCCTAGCAGAACCACTAGATTCTGTAACAGCTTTGTTCCTTATGCCAGATCTTTTAGGCACCAGGGACCGATTCTGTGGAGGAAGGTTTTTCTATGGACTGGAGGGGTGTGGTTTTGTATGCAGCCTGCATACCAGATGGGATTTGCTTGTTTGTGCGGACCAATTGTTGGCATGCTGCAGCCCAGTACTGGTCCATGGATCGGGGGTTAGGGACCCCTGCCTTATAATAATAAGAATAAAGCTAGAAGGTACCTTGGAGGTCATCTAGTCCAACCCCCTGCTCAGGCAGGAAACCTTATACCATTTCAGACAAATGGCTGTCCAGTCTCTTCTTAAAAACTTCCAGTGTTGGAGCATTCACCGCTTCTGGAAGCAGGTTGTTCCACTGGTTAATTGTTCTGTCAGGAAGTTTCTCCTTAGTGCTAGGTTGCTTCTCTCCTTGATTAGTTTCCACCCATTGCTTCTCGTCCTGCCTTCAGGCACTTTGGAGAATAGCTTGACTCCCTCTTCTTTGGGGCAGCCCCTGAGATATTGGAACCCTGCTGTCATGTCCCCCCTCGTCCTTCTCTTCATTAAGCTAGACATACCCAATTCCAGCAACTGTTCCTTATATGCTTTAGCCTCCAGTCCCCTAATCATCCTTGTTGCTCTTCTCTGTACTCACCATCTTTTTTACATTGTGGTGACCAAAACTGGATGCAGTATTCCAAGTGTGGCCTTACCAAGGCCTTGTAAAATGGTATTAATACTTCATGTGATCTTGATTCTATCCTTCTGTTAATGCAGTATCCCTGTTATACCACCTGTCTTGTAAATTCGCAGGATTCTTTGGGGGGGGGGCAGGTGTATACATTCGAACTTAACTGTAATGTTTCTCTCTGTCGTGTGCGTGTAGGCGGGTATATGCAAAATGTTATTTTTTTGAGAGCTGAATGCAACAAAAATTCAATGTATGTTGATTAGTGTACATTTAAAGGGACAATAAAGTTTTTATTCTCTTCTCTTAAAAGTGATTTTTCTTTGGGTAAATATGTACAAACCCATGGTCCATCACGACACAGACATTTCAACTGGCTAGTATGATTGCAACAAGGACTACAATATCTTCAAAAATCTCCCGAAGTCTTCCTGCAAAGATGAAAATTGATGAAATTACTAATCGTAATTTGTTAAAAATTCACTGAAAAGTTTTGGCGGGCTTAAATAGCCATCTTCTCCAACTGAGTGCCATCAAATATGCTGAGCCTGGAACTTTCAAGGAGTTGTGTGAATCCAATACTTGGAGTGCAAAAGGTACAAGTAAATACAAAGTTTATGATAACGTTGTTTAGCAATTGGAGTTCCAGTCCCAATTTATGGTTATGAGTCCAAGAAAATCCATAGATGAAAAGCGTGTGAAAGGCACCCAAGGAACCTTATTAAGAGCACTTGAGCTACTTGATCTTTTAGCCTAAAATTTGGTGACAGACCCACCTGGGTCACACCACCATAAATGAACTGGACAAGCTGGATTTGCACAATCTGTTAAACTGTAAAGGAAAAACAACTAAACATAAAATTAACCGAATTTAGTGTCTTATGCAGATGAAGCAGAGATTCAACGCTTCTATGAGCCTATATAGGCAGTCCTTGACTTACAACGGTCCATTTAATGACTGTTTGAAATTACAACAGCAGTGAAAAAAGTGACTTACGACAGTTTTCACATTTATGACCGTTGCCGCATCCCCACGGTCACGTGATCAAAATTCGGAGACTTGGCAACTGACATGTACTTATGACGGTCGCAGTGACCCGGGATCACGTGTTCCCCTTTTACAATCTTCTGACAAGTAAAGTCAATGGAGCAAGATTCGCTGAACAGCCATGTTACTACCTTAACAACTATAATGATCCATTTAAGAAGTCATAAAATGAATAATAGACCAACCCATAGACTGGAAACCAGAGATCTTTTTGTTGGGTATTTTAAACAGAAAATATAGTAAAGAAATATGGTACTTAATTTTACATATAATAACGGCGACAAGAATAGCATATGCTCAGTGCTGAAAAAATGAGAATACACCATCAGAGGAAGAAGTAATAAGAAAAATCCTGGACTGTGCTGAGATGGACAAATTAACAAAAGAGGTAAAAGAAAAGGAAGACACAGAGCATTATATAACATGGAACAAGTGGTATGTCTGGTTGGAGACTAGAAATAATAGAGAATAAATATGGAAAGGTCAAAAGTGAAAATATGTGTATAATAATGTATAATAATAATAATATGAATTATTCTTAGTAAGAAGTAGAACATGAAGGAAAAAAATGTAAATAAGAAACAACAGGGCAATAAGGACAAATATTCTAAAGAGGAATAAGGGGAGAAATGTAAATAATAGATTACCATTATGCAATCGCTGTAAAAAAAAGAGGAGTATATATTGTGTATGTATGTGTGTTATGTTTTGCTTTGTTTTGTTGGTTAAAAAAAAAGTCATAAAATGGGAGAAAACTCACTTAACATCTGCCTCGTTTAGCTACCTGTAACCGTATTTCTTAGAGGAATCATTCAAATATAAGAGAAATCTGGGCCCAATCACCACGGAATAGCAAACTTTTCCTCCAGGTCCGATCTTTGGTTTGAAATTCAAAGAATATCATCCTGAATTCCACTTTTTTAGCCCAGGCAGAGGGAGAACCAAGTCTAGTTTGATCTTCAAAGAGATTAAACAGTTTGGAATTTGGGCAGGGGGTGTCCCAACACACTTGGGAGGAGGCAACAGAGTTGCTTTGAACTGTAAGATGGGCAGCAAATAAATTGGTTAAATAAATAAATTTGATAAATGAATTGAAAAGGTAAATGTAAAAGCTTGAAATGTTCCAGTGAAAATATGCAGATTTTTCTCCCTGGACAAAACATTTCAGACCTCTTTATTCTCTGATTTCCATTTTGGAGGGGGGGGGGGGAGATATGTCTGCCAAAGGATCTCACATATTCTCTCTGGGATTGTGTTGCTCTGGACAGCCACAATTATTACTGGACAACGGACACGGATGCAAGCCAGTTCAAAAAAAGGCACTTCTAAAAAGCAGTTGCAAAACAAAATCCTTCTCTAAATGTTAGGCTCTCTGCATTCACACAACCCATTCATTTTGTTCCCCTGCTTGGATAAACCCGGCCTGTTTGCTTTAAAGTTTTAACATGCAGGGAGTTGGCCAAACCCCTGAAGTTGAAGCAACTGAATCGGGAATTTCCACATTCAGACAACTCCTACGCAAACCTTGATCCCCTGTCTAAGCCATCCCCGAAGGAAAGAGCAAGCCCTACGGTTATTTTTTGCCCAGGTTTAACGTTCCAGATCCGGGCTTGAGGGCGGACGACAGGAAAGGGCCCAAATGCACCACGAAAGCTAAGATTTCAGCTACAGTCCTTTGGAAGAAAAATTTACAAATGTGTTTTATGTAGGAATTCCAAGCCCCTGACGAAAACGGCCTTGGGAAAGTGGTCAGCCTGAAACCCGGGTCTGTTGGCAGCGGCAGGAAATACAAGCAACTCATGGTGGATTGGAAGTCAGAGTTCCAGATGCTTCAAATGTTGCTGGAAAATTTCTTCAGCCCTCTGCAGGTATTTGGCTGTCTTCTTTTTCACTGCTTCCCTGCGGGCTAGATTTGGATCGCCTGCAAACAGGAAGACAGGTTGGATCACTTTGTGGTGGAGCTCTGGAATCCAGCCAGCAAAAAACCAAACAAAAAGTCAAACTGCAGCTCAAAGCATTTAGCAGGGTAACAGACCACCAGCCGGCTGGCATTATAGCTTCTAAGAAGTACCTTCTTCTGGCCACATTCACACAACATACTCAAACCAGGATTGGTAAAAGACAAAGCAGCTACATTTTCATGACACAGTAAACTTGATTAAGTATTTACCTCAGTTAATTATTTTTCCCCTAGGCTTAGCCTATTGCACCAACCCAGCCTATCTTGTTTGTTCGGTAGCCATATTCACACAACATACTCAAACCAGGATTGGTAAAAGACGAAGCAGCTACATTTTCATGACACTTGATTTAAGTATTTACCTCAGTTAATTATTTTTCCCTTAGGCTTAGCCTATTGCACCAACCCAGCCTATCTTGTTTGTTCAGTAGCCATATTCACACAACATACTCAAACCAGGATTGGTAAAAGACGAAGCAGCTGCATTTTCATGACACAGTAAACTTGATTAAGTATTTACCTCAGTTAATTATTTTTCCCCTAGGCTTAGCCTATTGCACCAACCCAGCCTATCTTGTTTGTTCAGTAACCATATTCACACAACATACTCAAACCAGGATTGGTAAAAGACGAAGCAGCTGCATTTTCGTGACACAGTAAACTTGATTAAGTATTTACCTCAGTTAATTATTTTTCCCTTAGGCTTAGCCTATTGCACCAACCCAGCCTATCTTGTTTGTTCAGTAACCATATTCACACAACATACTCAAACCAGGATTGGTAAAAGACGAAGCAGCTGCATTTTCATGACACAGTAAAGTTGATTAAGTATTTACCTCAGTTAATTATTTTTCCCTTAGGCTTAGCCTATTGCACCAATACTTGTTTGTTCAGTAGCCATATTCACACAACAGGCTCAAACCTGGATTAGTAAAAGACGGAGCAGCCAAGAACAGTTAGTATCTGAATTAGACTTTGGTTCCAGCTCTGCTCAGCGCCTTTCCAGGGACAAAACTCTCCCCAGTTTCGGGAAAAATCCCAGAAGCCGAAAAGACCCACTCCTAGCTTCACGTACCATGAAGACCCTGAAGGAGCAAGTCAACTCCGCTGCGGTAGCCATGAAAGGCCCCGTGGTAGTCTCTGGAGGCTTCGCACAGCACAGCTTGCCGGATCCGCTCAGTCGCTTCGGGCAGATACAAGGCACCTCCTGCCTCGGGTTTTTGCGTCATGTCTGTGCTGAGCAGGAGTTCTGGTTTGGTCTCTGAGGCCTCCAGAGAAGCCAGATCGTCTCCGTGAGAGAGACCGGTGGCAGTACAAGCTGGATCAGAAGGAAAAGAACAGATGGGCAGAAGCTCAACTGGCTAGAGAAAGAGATGGCTAGAATAGAATAGAATGGAATGGAATGGAATAAGAGATAATGGAATAGAATAGAATAGAATAGAATAGAATAGAATAGAATAGAATAGAATAGAATAGAATAGAATGGAATGGAATGGAATGGAATAGAATAGAATAGAATAGAATAGAATAGAATAGAATAGAATAGAATAGAATAGAATAGAATGGAATGGAATGGAATGGAATGGAATGGAATAGAATGGAATAGAATGGAATAGAATAGAATAGAAGAATGGAATGGAATAGAATAGAATAGAATAGAATAGAATGGAATGGAATAGAATAGAAGAATGGAATGGAATAGAATAGAATAATGGAATGGAATGGAATGGAATAGAATAGACTAGTCTAGACTAGACTAGACTAGAATAATGGAATGGAATGGAATGGAATGGAATGGAATGGAATGGAATAGAATAGAATAGAAGAATGGAATGGAATGGAATGGAATAGAATAGAAGAATGGAATGGAATGGAATGGAATAGAATAGAATAGAATAGAATAGAATAATGGAATGGAATGGAATGGAATAGAATAGACTAGTCTAGACTAGACTAGACTAGAATAATGGAATGGAATGGAATAGAATAGAAGTAGAGTAGAGTATAGAGTATAGAGTAGAGTAGAGTAGAGTAGAGTAGAGTAGAGTAGAGTAGAGTAGAGTAGAGTAGAATAACAGAGTTGGAAGGGACATTGGACGTCTTCTAATCCAACCCCTGCTCAGGCAGGAAACCCTATACCATTTCAGACAAATCGTTGTCCAGTCTTTTCTTAAAAACTTCCAGTGTTGGAGCATTCACAGCTTCGGGAGGCAGGATGTTCCACTGGTTAATTGTTCTCACTGTCAGGAAATTTCTCCTTAGTTCCAGGTTGCTTCTCTCCTTGATTAGTTTCCATCCATTGCTTTTTGTCCTGCCTTCAGGTGCTTTGGAGAATAGCTTGACTCCCTCTTCTTTGTGGCCACCCCTGAGATACTGGAACACCGTCGTGTCACCCCCAGTCCTTCTTTTCTTAAACTAGATGTACCCAATTTCTGCAACCATTCTTTAAATGTTTTAGTCTCCAGTCCCCTGATCATCTTTGTTGCTCTTCTCTGCACTCTTTCTAGAATCTAAACACCTTTTTTATAATATGGTGACCAGAACTGTGTGGCCTTACTAAGGCATTATAAAGTGCTATTAACATTGTATGTGATTTTGATTCTATCCCTCTGTTAATGCAGCCTAGAACTGTGTTGGCTTTTTTGGCAGCTGCAGCACACGGCTGGCTCCTATTCAACAGATTCAGTATTCAACAGATCAACAAAGATGATAAATGATCTGGAAGCTAAATCATATGAGCAACGTTTGAGGAAGCTAAGGTATGTCTAGTCTAGGGGTCTCCAAACTTAATAACTTTTAAGATGTGTGGTCTTCAACTCCTCCCAGGATGAGAAGGTGAAGTCTAATTTTGAGAGTTGAAGTCCACAAGTCTTAAAGTTGCCATGTTTGGAGACCCCAAGTTAGTCTAACAAAGAGAAGACTGGGGGGGGGGGACACATGATGGCTGTCTTCCAATACCTGAGGGGCTGTCACAGACGAGGGAATTGACTTAAATCTCCTAAGCACCTGAGAGCAAGAAAAAAAATAATGGATGGAAACTTATCAAGTTAAGCTAGAACCACAGTGAAACTTCCTGACAGTGACAACAATTAACCAGTGGAAGGATGTCCGAGCATGTGCTGAAGTAACCCAGGAGTAAATACAGTAAACAGTGGTTTGTATTAAATGGTGGTTTATATTACAATATCTACAAATATACTAGAAACAAAATATATATACATGATAATTCAGCAAACTCCAGTACACAGCAATTACAGCGGATATGGACGAGAGAGAACACAGCATCAAAAGCCTTCCTTTTTATTCTTCTTCTTCTTGTGCCATATTCGTTATCGGACGTTGGCGATCATGTTGGTGATCCTGTTTTTATCAGCAGCCGCACGAAAAAGTGCTGCTGAGTTTTTTCCCTTTTATACTCTTAAAGCAGTGTTTCTCAACCTTGACCATTTTAAGGCATGTGGACTTCAACTTCCAGAATTCCACAGCCAGCATTGCTGGCTGTGGAATTCTGGGAGTTGAAGTCCACATGCCTTAAAATAGTCAAGGTTGAGAAACACTGTCTTAAAGGGATACAGACACCTGCTGAGTCTTTCCTATCATTGCATTATTATATAAGCTGCTTAGCTATTAAATTATTATCCTGACAAAGGGCTTGCCTTCAGAATTTGTGGGTGCTCCATTACTGGAGATGTTCAAAAATAGGTTGGACAACCATTTGGCTGGGATGGTATAAGGTCTTTTGCCTTGAGTAAGGGGTTGGACTAGAACAGAGCTTTTCAACCTTTTCACCCATGGTACCACTTTTAGGATACGGCAACATCCGAGGACCACCAGTCACCTAGCAAGGTGTCAAAAACTTGACCAAAAAAAAAAAAAGGAAAAAAGTGATAAAGTACAAGTAGTCCTCGACTTACAACAGTTTGCTTAGTGACTGTTTGAAGTTACAATAGCATTGAAAAAAGTGCCCCCCAAGCCACAGCCGAGCAAGACACTTGCCTGTCCCCCCAGCGGTGCTCTTCCTCCTATCATTGTTGTGAGCATTTCTGTTGAGGATTGGCAGCGGGGGTGGGTGAGGGGGGTGTTTGGTTTTTACTCCCCCCGTCTGCTGGGTGGTTGCAGCAGGTTTTGGTCGCTTCACATGACCCTGGGACATTGTGACCGTCATAAATATGAATCAGTTGCCAAGCATCTGAATGTAAATCACAAGACGCTGGAGATGCTGCAACATTCCAGCTGATCAGCGCTTCTTCTGGGCTCAGCAGAAGCGCCAGGATCAGTGCTGCTTTCCACCTGGAGCTTGGTGCTGATCCTGGTGCTTCCACTGAGCGCTGACAGCTCCGAAGAAGCGCCAATCAGCTGGAAAGCAGCATTGATCCAGGTGCTTCCGCTGAGCCCCGACAGCCCTGCAGCTCCAGCCATCTCTCGCTCAGGCCTGTGCGGTGCTGCCACTGGTTCAGCTCATTCCCCTCCCCTGCTATCACTTTTCTAGGATGGTCGCGTATCACCTGCCAGGTGCCAATGTACCCCAGGTGGTACCCGTACCACTGGTTGAAAAGCCTTGGAGGCCTCTGAGGTCCCTTCCAGCCTTGGGGTTCGAGGTTCCATGGGAGATCCCACCCCCATCGGTGTCTTGGATCACAGCCCATCATGCCTGTTGGTTGGCCTTCATTTCCTACCTACCTTCTTTGGAGAAGGGGTCAAAGAGGGCTAATTCTTGGACCGATAAGAGGCAGTGAGAAGGTGAGGCGCTCTTGGCTCCTTCCTCGTCTTCCCCCCTGAAGGCAAAGAGGGCATCCAGATCCTCCTCTTGTTCCACAGTGTCAGAGGCCTCCTCTGTGGTAGAAGCAACAGTCAGCAGAAGCAGGAGCACAACTTCTTCTAAACTCCAAATCTATTAGGGCAGTGGTTCTCAACCTTTCTAATGCCGTGACCCCATAATACAGTTCCCCATGTTGTGGTGACCCCCAACCACTTATACATCACCGGGTGCCAGGGGCGTGGCCAAAGGGGGGGGAAAAACGGCGGACAGCCTTGTTTGGCGACCCCCGTGAAATGGTCGTTCGACTCCAAATGGGGTCCTGACCCACAGGTGGAGAACCACTGTATTAGGGACTGGCCACCTTAAGATCAGGTTCCCAAAGGGCTGCAGGCATGCAATTAATCGGACCAAAATTTTGGCAACTTGAAGCTGGCTGGGGGATTCTGGGAGTTGAGGTCCACCCATCTTACAAGGGGTCAAGATCTGAATTACAGACTGAACATTAGACTCGCCAAGCATTTTTCCAGGGATTTGCATCCCGCAAACCACAACAGCTGTAATCACACCCCACACTAAGTCAAAACTGAACAAACCACATTTTGGTTTAGGGCAGGGCTAGGCAACCTTGGCTCTTTTATGACTGGTGGACTTCAACTCCCAGAATTCCTGAGCCAGCATGGGGGGAACTGTGGCCCCTTCATGACTCGTGGACTTCAACTCCCAGAATTCCTGAGCCAGCGTGGCTCAGCTTGGAAACTTCTCCCTTTCCCCTCAGCGTGGCTGGCTCAGGAATTCTGGGAGTTGAAGTCCACCAGTCATAAAAGAGCCAAGGTTGCCTACCTCTGGTTTAGGGCAATCTTTGGACCTAACTATTGTGGTTTATTTACAGCTTGGGGCGAGATGCACACTCACTCCTAGCCTGCATATCTGGCAAGGGTTTCTAGTACTGTAGAGAGTAGGACAAGATTTGGAAATGAGCGATTACAACCTGTTTATCCCAACTGTGAGATGTAATCCCACACTATGATTGGTTAAGTCAGTAGAGTGTGAAGCTGCACAGAGAGTTATATGCTGGAAAGTATTCAGCCCAGCTTGTTCATTTGTTTGGCTTCTCTGGAAAGTGTGCACCTGGGCATGCACAGAATGCCTTCCTCTCCTCAAGGGGAGCATAATTGGTTTGGTCTGGTGGTTAAGGCACCAGGCTAAAAAATAAGACTGTGAGTTCAAGTCCTGCCTTAACCATGAAAGCCAGCTGGGTGACTTTGAACCAATCACTAGGAGATGGTGAATTCTAGTCCCGCCTTAGCCATGAAAGGCCACTGGGTGACCTTGGGCAAGTCACTTACTCTCTCAGTCCAGCCCACCTCACAGGGTTGTTGTTGTTGGGAAAATAAGAGGGGCAGGCATGTTGGGTTACAAATGACTCAAGGCATATTCACTGCCTTGAGTTAGGAAGGAAGAGAAAAAGATGGAAGGAAGGAAGGAAGGAAGGAAGGAAGGAAGGAAGGAAGGAAGGAAGGAAGGAAGGAAGGAAGGAAGGAAGGAAAAAAGATGAAGGAAAGAAGGAAGACAGAAAAAAGAAAAAAGGGAGAGAGAGGGAGGGAGGGAGGGAGGGAGGGAAGGAAGGAAGGAAGGAAGGAAGGAAAAAAAGGAAAAGGAAGGAAGGAAAAATGCTACTTTCGTTTTGGAATCCAGAACCTTAAGGGGGTACCTTGGTTCTCCATTTGGGGTTCAGAGACGCCATCTTTGCTGGCCACCTCTGGCTTTGGATCCAGCAGCCCATCCTCCTGAACCAGCCCCAGAGCCTCCTCGCCCTGTTCGACTCCTGTCGCAGGCACCGGGATGAGAGGGAGAGGCAGGGATGGCGACTCCCAGTGCCTGGGATAACTCTGCCCCTCTCCGCCCTGGAAGGACAAAGCAACCGCTGCTTTCCCACTCAACCGAGTCTCTGAATTTGCCGCCTTCTGCATTTGGGCACAAAAGGAGATCAAAGCTGTCCTCAACTTACGACTGTAGTTGAGCCTGGAATTCCCATCCTAAGCCATTGTGGTTGACGTCATGTCGCCAGACCTGATTTTTTGGAAAGTGTTTTGCAGTGGTCATTAAGTGAATGCTGTGGTTGTTAAGTGAATCCACTTCCTGCAATGTTTTCTTTCTTTCTTTTTTTTTTTGCAGGAAAGCGGACATCAATGCTGGAAACCGGCAAAAAAAAAAAAAAAAAGATGCATATTGGCTTGGTTAAGCAGTGTTTTTATAGAAAATTTAATTGATGTATCAGCGCGTTTGATCACATCAAACCGTATCATGGTTTTAATGCTCAGGTAACTTTAAGAATTCCCTTGAAACTGTGTGCGCTTCGGTTCCCCCAGGGGTATTCTGGGAGTTGAAGTCCACATACTTTAGGGTTAATCAGACTGGAACAAAACACTTGGTTTAAGCTCATGCAATGCAAGATGCCCAAACAAGCTGGGATCCTGAACCGCAAACCTGGTCTAAATCGTAGTCTGGCTATTTGTGATGGATCCCAACAGTCGGTCCCCTGGATCTAACAGTCCAGTAATCAACAGTTCCCATCTGTGGATTCTACTGTCCAACTGGCTTTACTGCGACAAGAATCGGAGATTATTTGTTTGTTTGTTATTTGGGATTACATGTGATCCTCAATTTATACCGTATATTCCGGTGTATAAGACGACTTTCGAGAGCGTTGAAACAGCCTCCGAACTTGGGGGTCGTCTTATACGCTGAGTCGTCTTATAGCCGGAAATAAGGTAGTTTCTGGCGTATAAGACGACTTTCTAGGCGTGCGACTTGGCGTTGATCGTCTTATATGCCGGAAATAACGTAGTTTCTGGCGTATAAGACGACTTTCTAGGTATGCAACTTGGCATCGATCGTCTTGCGACACGGTGTCGATCGTCTTGCGACCTGGCGTCAAACTAGGGGGTCGTCTTATACGCCGGGTCGCCCTATACGGTAACAGTTCACTTAGTGACCGTTCAAAGTTACAACGGCACTGAAAAGTGACTTTTGACCATTTTTCAGACTTATGACCGTTGCAGCATCCCCCTGATCACGTGATTTACATTCAGCTGCTTGACAACCGACTCGTATTTGATGCTTGCAGTGTCCCTGAGCCACGTGATTCTCTTTTGCGACTTTCTGACAAGCGAAGTCAACGGGGAAGCCAGATTCACTTAACTGTGTTACTAATTTAACAACTGCAGTGGTTTATTCTGAAGGGAACTTAAAATCCAGGCAAGAGATGGAAAATCAGGGCATCGATTTAACATGGTGGTCACATTTACAAATGCAAGTCAGACATGACAAAGATATTAAACAGTATGGATTTTATAAAGAGCAGACTGTGTTTGATCAGACATAACTAACTTCTGATGAAAAGTTAATTAAAAAATGTGTAATTTCTTATTAAATCTCAAAATGGAAGATGAACAAGTAAAAGAGACAATGATAGTATGGGCAAAGAATTTTGGATATAATATAGATTTGGAGAAGTGGCAAAGTTTGTGGGAAAGAAACTATAAATTGACAATGTCAACTTCATATAAAGAAAACTTATATAAAATGTACTATAGATGGCACTTGTCACCAACAAGATTAGCAAAAAGGTTTAAAAATATGTCAGAGAAATGTTGGAAATGTAAACACAAACCAAGTACTTATTATCATATGTGGTGGACATGTGTTAAAGCAAGGAGATATTGGATAACAATCCACACTTGATTAGAAAAAATGTTAGAGAAACACATAGACTATAAACTAGGTATAATGCCAGAAAAACGTGATAAGCAAAGTACAGATTTGATTCTACATATGATAACAGCAGCAAGAATTTTATTTGCACAATATTGGAAGAATGAAGCAATATCACCAGAAGAAATATTTAAAAAAAAACTAGGCTGTGCGGAAATGGACAGACTTACTTTAAGGTTGAAAAAAAAAAGAAGAAACAGAATATTTTCAAATTTGGGGCCTATTTTATCAATGGTTAGAGAAAAGATTTAGGGATTAGGAATTTAATTTGTATTAGTGAATAAGATACTCAGATAACACATTCTGTTGACTGGTTACTATTGAATTCTGTTAAAAAAATAATCAATAAACTTTATAAAAAAACAACTGCAGTGATTCACTTAACAACTGGGACAAGGAAGGTTGAAAAATGGGACAAAACTCACTTAACAAATGTCTCGCTTAGCAACATAAATGTTGGGCTCCACTGTGGACATAGGTTGAGGACCATCTCTATTTATTATTAAATCTATTTGTCACCCATCTCACATCCAGTGACTCTTGACGGCTTAGACCAGGGGTAGGCAACCTTGGCTGTTTTATGACTCGTGGACTTCAATACCCAGAATTCCTGAACCAGCCATGCTGGCTCAGGAATTCTGGGAGTTGAAGTCCACGAGTCACAAAACAGCCAAGGTTGCCTACCCCTGGCTTAGAGCATCAAAAGATTCAGGATTAAGGACCGCAGTAAACTTTGCCACCCAATCCGTGGCCCCTCCACACTCAAAGCAGGGCCCTTGGCAAACCACGATTGCGCAATGCACAGTCAGCCCCTCGCTTTCCCCACCCTTGTGGCCCTTGTTCACTGGATTGCCACAATCTAAAGCAGTGGTTCTCAACCTGTGGGTCGGGACCCCATTTGGGGTCGAACGACCATTTCACGGGGGTCGCCAAACAACGCAGTCCGCCATTTTTTTTCCCCTTTTCCTTAGCTGTGCTACTCCTTTTTATTCTATTGGCTTTTGAAAGCCAATAGAATAGACTCTCTTGAATAGAGTCTAATTCTCTTGGCTTTCAAAAGCCAATAGGAATTGTCCAGGCTGTCTCTGCCCTGCTGAGCCCGCCAAAAGTCCCCTTCTGCAAACGGTGCTGCACCAGTTGAGTAGTCCTCGACTTACGACCAGTTGAGTAGTCCTCGACTTACGACCGGTTGGGGGTCGCGGCATTAAAAAGGTTGAGAACCACTGCTCTAAAGAGAAACGCAGAATAAATAAATGAAGGTACCCGGAAGAACTCCTTCAGCTGGGGGCTGTTATTTAAGGCCGGGATGTGGACAGTGAAGCACAACATGTCTTCCGCCGCCTTCCTCCGCTCTTCAATCACCTCAGGGTCAAACCGGCCTGCGGAAGGTTGGGGAGCAACGTTTTAAGGGTGCAAGGAAGCCCAAGGACCCTAATTCCCAACCAATGAGGTCAACGGGAGAGACAAGTCACCTCCTGGGGTGCGGGATTCCTAATGGCTGGGGATTAGCGGCACTGTAATGCCTGAAAAAAAAAGTCGATTGGGGAAAGAGGGAGCTGAACCCCGAAAATCTGGTGATTTCATTTTTCCCAGGGCTGCAAAGCTGAACAAGGTCGAGGACTCACCAAAGACCTGCGCTCGCGGGAAAGCCGGAAAATCTTCCATGCGACGGAAGAGGTTGCGATGGGTGTAAGCCAAATCTGCGTGCAGCTTCTTAAAGTCGCTGTACCTCTTCCAGACCACGATCTGTCGGATGGAAGCGAGGGAGAGAGTCAGACAACCGAGAATTCGTGACTAGGCTAGCTTTCTCCAGGCAGGGACTCCCTGCATATCTGAAGGTATTGGTGCAATATTTCTCGATGTTGGCGATTTTCAGATGGATGGACTTCAACTCCCAGAATTCCCCAGCTAGCCATGTTGGCTGTGGAATTCTGGGAGTTGAAGTCCATCCATGCTGGCTGTGGAATTCTGGGAGTTGAAGTCCATCCATGCTGGCTGTGGAATTCTGGGAGTTGAAGTCCACTCATCTTCCAAGTTGCCAAGATTGAGGAACACTACTATCGTGCATTTCTACCCCTTTCCCTTAGGTATAGAGCCTCCCTTTCAACAATCTACCTCACAGGGTTGTTGTGATGGAAGAAAAAGTACATAGCATAATAAGGTTGGAAGAGACCTTGGAAGAATAACAGACCAGAATAACAGAATTGGAAGGGACCTTGCAGATCCTCTAGCACAGTGGTTCTCTACCTGTGGGTCGGGACCCCATTTGGGGTCGAACGACCATTTCACAGGGGTCGCCAAACAACGCAGTCTGCCATTTTTTCCCCCTTTTCCTTAGCTGTGCTGCTCCCTTTTATTCTATTGGCTTTTGAAAGCCAATAGAATAGACTCTCTTGAATAGAGTCTAATTCTATTGGCTTTCAAAAGCCAATAGGAATTGTCCATGCTGTCTCTGCCCTGCTGAGCCCGCCAAAAGTCCCATTCTGCAAACGGTGCTGCACCAGTTGAGTAGTCCTCGACTTACGACCGGTTGGAGATCGCGGCATTAAAAAGGTTGAGAACCACTGCTGTAGTCCAACCCCCTGCTCAAGCAGGAGAGCATTTTAGACAAATGGCTGTCCAATCTCTGCTTGAAAACCTCCTGTGATGGAGCACCCACAACTTCCAGAAAGAAGCCATTCCACTGGTTGATTGTTCTCTGTGAGTCAACTGAACAGAGAACATGATCATAAAACATGGAAAAGGGAGAAGCCAACTATACGCTTTCTTAGTGGCAGATAAGGCCAGTAGATTAACTAATACGTGTATTTACCCCGTGCCAATCTGCACAGGAAATATCTCCTACTAGGACAGTAACTGCTTTGTTCTTAGAATGCATCATTCTTGCTCACATTCAGTCACTTGACTTTTTGTAAAATCTGCTTTTCTCTCTTTTAAGACGGGCCTTTGGGACGTTTATGGGTTCTGTGGGCTGAGAGAAGCAGAGGCATCAACTTCCCTTGTAAGATGTTACTTGGGAAATCAATAGAAATAAAGCCAGGGCATTGTCTCCTGCAGTAGGCTGTGAAACTGACTAGGACACATTGTGGAACCGGGTAGATAAAGGCTTCTCCCCAGATCAGGCTGGGAAGTTGCCTAAAAAAGAGAAGGATTTCATCAAATGCACAGGAGGAAAGAAAGGATGTTTACCAGAAGAAAATCAGACTAAATGCAGCAAAATGTTCATTTTGGACAGCTTAATTTCTACTTCCCAATCAAGCCTCCTATCTTGAGATCTCCTAGTGGTCTCCCATTCAACCAGGTTCACACTCTGTTTAATTTTCTGGCTCATCAAGGCAAGCTAAGTGCTACCTCCTGCTGTGACATTAATAGTGCATTAGCCGAATTTAGTAATATAATTGCTAAAATACTGTAATGAGACATATGTGCCACTAAACCAGAGATTATTAAAATAATGGTTTACCAAAATGACTGATTTAGCATTCATACATCATGAACGATAAAGTATCTCATCACAGCATATTCACACATTAGGGTTACCCAGCTTAGTGTATACATCATACTAAACTGATTAAAGTTAATCGTGGTTAGGGGTTTTTTTGGCTCATTGCTGACTGAGGCAAAAGCTTGTTTCACTAGTCAATGGTTTATTATGTTCACGCAACCTATTCAACCTCTTTCCTGAGTGAATCTGCTGTGTTGATTGATCCATAAGTTTATTAACTTTCCATATAGGCTAATCCTCAAGTAAGCTCCATCACTGGAGATTTTTAAGAAGACATTAGATAGCCATTTGTCCAGGAAAGTATAAGGCAGAGGGTCTTCAAACTTGGCCCTTTTATGACTTGTGGACTTCAACTCCCAGAATTCCTTAGCCAGGCAAGCTAGCTGACAAATTCTGGGAGTTGAAGTCCACAAGTTATAAAAGGGCCAAGTTTGAAGACCCCTGGTATAAGGTTGGACTAGAAGACCTCCAAGTTCCCTTCCAACTCTATTATTTTGTTACAAGCAGTCCTCAACATACAACAGTTCCTTTAGTGCAGTGTTTCTCAACCTTGACAATTTTAAGGCATGTGGACTTCAACTCCCAGAATTCCACAGCCAGCAATGCTGGCTGTGGAATTCTGGGAATTGAAGTCCACATGCCTTAAAATTGTCAAGGTTGAGAAACACTGCTTTAGTGACTATTCAAAGTTACAACCCTGAAAAAAGTCGTAAGTCGAGGACTACCTGCGTTCTGTTAACCAAGATTCATATTCATGAAGACGAGCAAGTTGCGGGGATGCAGCAGAGATTGGCAACTGACCTGGGTCAGTGTCCTAGGAGAATTGGCACCACCAGGCTGCTTGAGACATCAGCTAAAGGTGTTGTTGTGTGAGAATCCAGCCACTAAGCCCCTTCACCAACCCACCCCGATCTTAGGACCATGTGTTGTGTGAAAGGTTTTATCTTCCCTTCCTTGGCCAGGCTGGGTCCACGTACCTCCTTGATGTCATCTGGATTCACCTTTGAGACAAACTGGAAGGAAAGAGATAACAGGAGGTGAACGTCAATTGGCGCCTTGCCAATCCCAGGAATGGCAGAGGCTGGTGGGGGGGGGGGGAAGAGCAGGATGCCAGCTCAAGGCCAGCTCCCTCTTGCATGTCCAGATGTTCTCTGCCCCCTCCCAGCAATTGCAGCCTGGGGGCAGAGACCCCCCCTTAGAGTGCAGTACTGTAGGCCACTTTAGCTGACTGTGTTCAGCAGGTCAGCGGTTCAAATCTCACCAGCTCAAGGTTGACTCAGCCTTCCATCCTTCCGGGGTAGGTCAAATGAGGACCCAGATTGTTGGGGGCAATTGCTTACTGGTGTACACCGCTTAGAGAGTGCTCGCACTTAAAGCGGTATACAAGTCTCATAAATAAATAAATAAATAAATAGAATAATGGAATGAAGAATAGAATAGAATAGAATAGAATAGAATAGAATAGAATAGAGCCGAGGTGGCGCAGCCGTTAGAGTGCAGTACTGCAGGCCACTTTAGCTGACTGTGTTCAGCAGGTCAGCGGTTCAAATCTCACCGGCTCAAGGTTGACTCAGCCTTCCATCCTTCCGGGGTAGGTAAAATGAGGACCCAGATTGTTGGGGGCAATGTAATATATATATATATATATATATATATATATATATATATATATATATATATATACATACACATTGCTTACTGGTGTACACCGCTTAGAGAATGCTTGCACTTAAAGCGGTATATAAGTCTCATCAATAAATAAATAAATAAATAAATAAATAAATAAATAAATAGAATAATGGAGTGAAGAATAGAATAGAATAGAATAGAATAGAATAGAATAGAATAGAATAGAATAGAATAGAATAGAGCCGAGGTGGTGCAGCCGTTAGAGTGCAGTACTGCAGGCCACTTTAGCTGACTGTGTTCAGCAGGTCAGTGGTTCAAATCCCACCGGCTCAAGGTTGACTCAGCCTTCCACCCTTCTGGAGTAGGTCAAATGAGGACCCAGATTGTTGGGGGCAATGTAAATATATATATATATATATATATATATATATATATATATATATATATATACACACATACATTGCTTACTGGTGTACACCGCTTAGAGAATGCTTGCACTTAAAGCGGTATATAAGTCTCATAAATAAATAAATAAATAAATCTTCCCCAGACCTATCAACTGGCAGCCCCATTGCCCCCCCCCAGTACCTTTGCATTACACACCCGCATACACAACACATAGAGGAGGGTGATAGCACGGCAATACCACGCCTCTGCCAAGGGGCAGGCTGGGGAGGGAGGCAGGGGGAGAAGCAGCCCCCCACCCCCTTTGCAAAAAAGAAAAGCAGAAGGGGGGGGGAAACCAAGCTCCTGAAACGCCCGCTTGGCTTCTCCTGCTCCACTGGCTGCACCCGCCCTTGCATGGGTCTTGGGGGAGGAGAGCAACCCCGGGGTTTCCTCCCCACTCCCCCGCCGGGCCTGGAGGGGGGGGGCCTGGAAACTCTCTTTGCAACTCCTTTCTCACTTTGGCCGTGACTTTGTACTCCGTGTAGCCTTTCGGGTGGGCGCGGGGGTCGCTGACCGCGTACGACCGGTGAAACTCCTCCTTCGCCCGACGGGACATCCCGGCGCCTTTTTCGGCGTCGCGGCCCCTTTAAATCCAGGACCGCGGCCGGAAGGGAGACAGTCCGCGCGCGACCGCCGGGGACCCTCCCGCAGGGCGCATGCGCATGCGCAGCCCCTTTCCCTGCCCGGCGGCCGCTCCAGGGAGCGTCTGCAAAGGGCAGTCCTGGGAGTTCGGCGTTTAGGGATCGTGGGCGATGCTCCCAAGTCACAAAAAGCGAACGAGGATCGGGGTTTTGTTTTTTTTCCCCTCCAATCCGGCGCCCATCAGGGACCTTGCACCCACCGCTCCCCGAATCCCAAAGCAGGTGGGAAACTGAAGTGCCATCTGTCAGAAATGGTGTAGGATCTCCTGCTTGGGCATGGGGATTGGACTAGATGACCTCGACGGTCCCTTCCAACTCTGTTATTCTATTCTACTCTATTCTATTCTGCATTCTATTCTATTCATTATTCCATATTTTCTTTTCTACTTTATTCTGTTCTGCATTCTATTCTATTCATTATTCCATATTTTCTTTTCTACTCTATTCTGTTCTGCATTCTATTCTATTCATTATTCCATATTTTCTTTTCTACTCTATTCTGTTCTGCATTCTATTCTATTCATTATTCCATATTTTCTTTTCTACTCTATTCTGTTCTGCATTCTATTCTATTCATTATTCCATATTTTCTTTTCTACTTTATTCTGTTCTGCATTCTATTCTATTCATTATTCCATATTTTCTTTTCTACTTTATTCTGTTCTGCATTCTATTCTATTCATTATTCCATATTTTCTTTTCTACTCTATTCTATTCTATTCATTATTCCATATTTTCTTTTCTACTTTATTCTATTCTGCATTCTATTCTATTCATTATTCCATTCCATATTTTCTTTTCTATTCTGTTCTCTTCTCTTCTACTTCCATTCTTTCTACTCTACATTCTATTCTATTCTCTTCCATTCCATTCTAATTATTCTAGTCTACCTGGGAAATTGGAATTTCCACCTGCATCTAGAACTGCGTTTTTAAAAGTTTAACCTGGGGGGGCGGTGACTTCAACTCCCAGAATTCCCCAGCCAGCATGCCCAGATTGGGGAAGGGGGGCAGGATACAAATCTTGAAAATAAGTAAATACAGATCATCCTTGATTTATGACCGCAATGGAGCCCAAAATTTTTGTGGCTAAGTAAGGCAAGTTTAGTGAGCTTTGCCCATTTTACGACCTTTCTTGCCACAGTTGTTAAGTGAATCACTACAGTTGTTAAATTAGTAACACGGTTGTTAAGCAAATCTGGCTTCCCCATTGACTTTGCTCATCAGAAGGTCGCAAAAGGGGATCACGTAACCATGGGACACTGCAACCGTTATAAATATGAGTCAATTGCCAGGCACCTGATTTTTGAACACATGACCTCAGGGATGCTGCAGTGGTTTTATGAAAAACGGTCATAAGGCATTTTCTTCAGTGGAATGGTCACTAAGTGAATTGTTGTAAGTCAAGGACTATCTATGCCAAACCCACTGTGGAAGATGTGGGTCACCCCATGCTTGCTTACGGAATTCTGGGCGTTGAAGTCCACCCATCTTCAAGTTGAGAAACACCATCTAGAGTTTGCCAAGTTGGAAAAAGCTGCTCTATTCCAACCTGCACCCAGATCTCTTTTTTTTTTAAGGGATGGGGGAATTTCTTTTGAAATTGAAAATATGTTTTCGTGCTCCTGGGATTTAATAAGCGGATTTGTTTCCCTCTCCAAAGTAGGATTATGATTATTTCAATGTTTTTAAGAACTTGGGGATGGGGACAGTTATGCAACACGGAAAAGATTGTTTTTACAACAATAAATAAAGCAAAATTATGAAATCCACATGCTGGCCCTCATATTAAAATAAAAAATAAACAAACTGGTCAGCTGGCTCATGCAAATGAAATTCTAAGTGCAGAAGCTATTCCCAGCAATTTTTCTGGTTAAAAAAAAGAAATACATGCTGGATTTGAATCTGGTTTAAAGTTTCATCCTCTCTCCTAAATATGGGTGGAATTCCTGCTTCTTCCAAGGATGCGCAATCAACCCATTTTTGAACTAGAGACCAAGTTGGTCAGCTTTGCATCAGAGACCTAACCACAAAAGAACTAACCAACTTAAGAAACAACCAAATTTCAATGTTAAGGAAACTAATTTGATGTTGAATTTAATAACAGCAGCAAGGTTGTTGGTAGGGCAATATTGGAAGAAGGATTGTTTGCCTACTATAGAAGAATGTATGCTTAAAGTGTCAAATTTAGCAGAAATGGCTAAGATTTCTGCTTATTTGAAGGATTATTCACAAGAACGATACATTTCGGTTTGGAGAAGATGGATAGATTATATTCAGAATATGGGACTAAAAAGTTCCATTTATTTTATGAATAAATTATTGAATATTATTATTGTTATTATTATTAATAGTTTAGTGTAGTGGAATTTTTATTATATTGTATTGTTTATAAATTGGGATTTTAATTCGATTATATGATAAAGTTTATTTGTTAATTGTTTACTTTGTGTTAAAAGAGAGCAGCAAAGTAAAATTGTTTACTTAAAATAAACAAATATAAAATGCATTATATTTGTTTATTTACATAGTTGGTTAATGATAGTTAGATTATGATTATTATATTTGTTACCCTGTATTCAGCTTTGGGAAGTGGGGGAGGGGGGAGGGGGTACGGGGGGTGGGTTTGGGGTATATTTTGTAATTTTTGTAAAACTTTTCAATAAAAAAAGAAGAAGAAAGAAACAACCAAGTTTTGAGGAGCATGAATCATTCCCAAACCACTTGTGGGAACACAGCCCAACCTGATTTAAGCACGTGCACACCTTGAATCCAGGACAGCAGACAGATCTCTCTTCTTCACCCAGTCGCACACAAGCTGACACCAAAATTCCCCGACTCTCTTTAAAACAGCCACAGCTTTATTGGTCTGCTTTTAACACAATCCCGTGCGGAGAACTAAAGGTAGCAAAGTACCATTGGTTTGCCCCCCCCCACCTCCAGCTGTCCCCTGCCACAGGACTGATGCCACTCACTTTTGCACTGGCCATTGTTTCAATTAGGCCCAGATCCAGGGTGAAAGACGGGCCATTGGTCAAAATGCAGTCACTAAATCTGAGTTTTTCAACCTCGGCCTCTGGAAGATGGGTGGACTTCAACTCGCAGAATTCTGGGAGTTGAAGTCCACCCATTTTCCAGCAGCCGAGGTTGAAAAACACTGCTAGATTCTCTCAGTCTGCAGTGAATATCCGGCTTGAGATGTCATCCAACAGCCAATCAATGCCCACCAGTAGATTTTCCCCGGTGTAAGCACTGCAACCTCGGATGCACCAATGGTGGGTCTGGATACTGTCGAGGTCCAGGGCCTGGAGAGGAAGCAAAGGGGGGGAAAATCAGAAAATTCCCCTTCCGCGTAAAGGTGGCAAAGATCTGAGGAGGCCAGGGACCCCTCCCAAGCATCAAAAGGGGGCCTAGGGACTTCAAAGAGGTGAAAAAAGGGCAAGATGGTGGAGAAATGAGCCATGCAAGGCTTAAAATGCAGTTCTGCCTGTGCCATCTTGACTTTTTTGACCTGTTTGCCCCTCTGGGTAAGTGGATTGTTCCCTGGACTTTGGGAAGAGGTGGGGGCTCTCCTTTGGAGGGGGCAAAATGGGAAATTTAGTGGGGAAAAAAACTAAGCCGCCCAGAATTAACTTGAGGCAAGATAGGGGGCCTATAAATTTTATAAACAAATAAAGAGCTGAGTTGTGGCTTCTTATACTGGAGCAGGATGGGACAATGCGGTATTTTATAAATAAAACGAGCCACTGATGATTTTATATTGTTTATAACCCATTTTACGGCTAACGGATGTTGGAAGAGAGACTTTGTGTTGTTTGTCAGTTCTCTGACAGGGAATCCTTACAACCACTTTGACCGTTCAAAGTTACAAGAGCAATGAAAAAGTGACTTATGACCATTTGTCGCATTTGTGACCGTTGCATGGTCACGTGATCAAAATTCAGACCCGTGGTTCTCAACCTGTGGGTCGGGATCCCATTTGGGGTCGAATGACCATTTCACGGGGGTCGCCAAACAACGCAGTCCGCCATTTTTCGCCCCCTTTTCCTTAGCTGTGCTCCTCCCTTTTATTCTATTGGCTTTCGAATAGAGTCTAATTCTATTGGCTTTCCAAAGCCAATAGGAATTGTCCAGGCTGGACAGGAATTGTCCAGCCCGCCAAAAGCCCCATTCTGCAAACGGTGCGGCACCAGTTGAGTAGTCCTTGACTTACGACCGGTTGAGTAGTCCTTGACTTACGACCGGTTGGGGGTCGAGGCATTAAAAAGGTTGAGAACCACTGGTTTAGAAGCAAATGCTTTTTTCATCCCACTTAAGAATTGTTACTAGGGGGAAAAAAAATGCAGAATTTCTCTGTTCCGCTCAGTGTCCAGTTTTAAAACTCAGCTAAGTTTTAGCTGCCGCCTCTTTCAATTCAGAACCTTACGGCAGAGTTGCTCAACCTTGGCACTTGGAGATGGGTGGACTTCAACTCCCAAAATTCCCCAGCCAGCTCTGCTGGCTGGGGAATTCTGGGAGTTGAAATCCACCCATCTCCAAGTGCCTAAGGTTGAGAAAAACTGCCCAAGGGATGCTCGCCAGAAGCCCAATGATCGTGGTTGCCCTTGCAACAGGAAAGGGGACAAACAAATTTAATAAATACACAAAGAAACAAACTGCCAAGGTTCTTACCTCCTGGATGGCGCTGGGACTTAACGCACCTGGCAGGTCCTGCTTATTCGCAAAGATGAGAAGTGTGGCACCAGCCAAACGCTGCACAAAGGGAGAGAAAAACTAACAAATACACCCAATTTTCTCACTCAACCTAACGGCTTCCGAAGCTAACAATAGGGGGTCAGCCCACCAAACGCCAATTTGGGGAATTGGAGTCCTAAGAAAAGGAATCCGGGGTGGGGCAGCCTGGTCAATTCTTCTCCTGGACCGAGGAGAGAGGACGAAGCATTGTTGAGGAAACGTGGTCATTTTAAGATGGGTGGACTTCAAGTCCCAGAATTCCTCAGCTGGCATAGAAGGTAGAGCAGTTCCCAGCCTTGCTAAGTCGGGCCACAATAGAGCAATAGCCCAATCCCAAATTGGTTTCCTCGATGGGGTCTCAGCAGATGCTCAGCCGTGCTAGAGTTGGTTAAGACGGGATGGGAGACCACAGGGAGATCATGGAGGTAGCGACTACATTGCCAAGAAGATTATTTTTTTTATATATTTATTTGTATCTCGCCTTTATTCTGTTTTGCAAATAAACCAAGATGGCAAACATATCCAACTTTTCTTCCTCCTGTTTTCCCCACAACAACAACCCAAGGCTGGGCTGAGAGCGAGTAACTGGCCCATAGTCCCCCAGTTCTAGTCCTGATTAAGGCAGGACTAGAACTCACCATCTCCTGGTGATTGGCCCAAAGTCACCCTGACGGCTTTCACGATTAAGGCGGGACAAAACTGGTTATAAATATAAATTACACTATATATATATATATATATATATATATATATATATATATATATATATATATATATATATATTCTGAGGTTTTCGCGGGTATTTGTATGTAGGTCTTTGGTTGTTTGGGTTTTCTCCCACGTAAAATTGGAAGTGTCTTGGCGACGTTTCGACGAAGTCCCATTCGTCATCTTCAGGCTGGTGTTTTCAGCTTCGTGCTTCGAGCACCCATCATTGCTGCTCGAAGCACGAAGCTGAAAACACCAGCCTGAAGATGACGAATGGGACTTCGTCGAAACGTCGCCAAGACACTTCCAATTTTACGCGAACAACCAAAGACCTACATACATACATACATACATACATACATATATATATATATTATATATAGTGACTAGGAGTCAAGGAATTCTGGGAGTTGACGTCCACTGCTTCAGATGTTTGGGGAACCAGCCACCGGATTCCCAGAATCCTCTCTCCCTACCAAGGCATTTTGGGAGTGGGCGTCTCCAAGATCCCATTCCAGAGGAGGCCGCCCCCTCCCTCTCTCCAGCAGAGGCAGCCCACCTCTTCCACCAGGAGGGTCTCCAGCTCCTTCTTGCAGTCTTCCATCCGCTGATGGTCGGCGCTATCCACCACCCAGATGAGCCCGTCGGTGCTCTCAAAATAGTTGCGCCAGTAGGAGCGCAGGGACTTCTGGCCCCCCACGTCCCAGATATTCAGCTTGAACCTGCGGGAGGGAGGGAGAGAAAGAGACAAGGCAGAGGTGGGAGAGCCAGACTGGGGAGGGGGAAGTATGGAGGAGGAGGACGGGGTGGGGGATCCTCACCCGCGATGCTCCAGGGTCTTGATGTTGAAGCCCAGCGTGGGCGAGATGGTGTCAATCTCGTCTCCATTGAACTTTTTCAAGATGGTGGTTTTGCCGGCGTTGTCCAGGCCCCTCGGGGCAGTCCGAGTCAAGGGTAAGCCGTAAGCAACAGTGTTAAAAGCAGGGCAGCATTAGAGGAAGGTTCACGCTCCTGGCAAAGGAAAACCGCATGGGAATCCCTAGCGCCAGGGGTAGGCAACCTCGGCTCTTTTATGACTCATGGACTTCAACTCCCAGCATTCCTGAGCCAGCATAGCTTCAACTCCCAGAATTCCTGAGCCAGCATAGCTTCAACTCCCAGAATTCCTGAGCCAGCATAACTTCATCTCCCAGAATTCCTGAGCCAGCATAGCTTCAACTCCCAGAATTCCTGAGCCAGCATAGCATAGCATTGCCTAGCCCTGCCCTAGCCACTACTGCCAGTTCCCCCAAAGCATTTCTGTGCCCCTAAACGTAAAGGGCTATGTCTGCCTAGGAAGCACAGAGCAGGCAGGGACTTGATTCCCCAAGCCCTCTGCCCATGCTCAAGGGCACTCTTGACCAGGCAAGTTGAGAATGGGATGGGAACGCTCCCTGGGGAAGGAGCGCAGCCCAAAGCAAGCTCCTCTTTCCTGGGATGCAAAGACAAGGAATTCCCCCCCCCGCCGCCTTTCCCAACTCAACCCACCCCACCCACCGCCTCTTCCCGGTTTCCCCCGCGCCTCCTTTTTCCTCGCGGAAGGATACAGCATCAGCAGGCGCAGCTCCCGCTCCTTCTGTCGCATCTTCTTCAAGATGCTCAGCAGCCCCATCGCCCGCGCGGAAGCTTCGCTCGCGCTCCGCCCTTTGCCGGGATGCCGCGCGCGAGCGCGCGCGACTCCGCCACTCAGAACTTCCGCCTCCGCCAATCAGGAAGGTCGGGGGGCGGTCCCGGCTGTAGGGGACTATTAGAGGAGGAAATGCATCTATACTTCCGGATCTCCTTCGCAATTTTGCTGGGTCCTGCACGGCAGCCAGCAGAGTGGCAGCGAGGGGACTTTAATGAGTCAGCACAGAGCTGGAAGGGACCTTGGAGGTCATCTAGTCCAACCCCCCTGCTCAAGCAGGAGACTCTTATACCATTTCCAAACAGGTGGCTAGTCTTCCGACGCTTTGGTGCTTTAGGGCCCCTTTCACTTACATAAAAGGCTTTTACTTGGTGGAAAAGCAATTGTATAAGATGCACAAGGTTGTGTTGAGACTGTGTAGATGGCAGCTAAGAGACTTAACAAAATGGTAAGAGTTGGAAAGGACCTTGGAGATTTTCTAGTCCAACCTCCTGCACAAACAGGAGAACCAATGCTTTGTGAGAGCTGTTGTGCGTTTTATGTGGTTACTGCCTGGGTCAGAATACAGAATAACAGAGTTGGAAGGGACCTTGGAGGTCATCTAGTCCAACCCGCTGCTCAAGCAGTAGATCCTGTACCGTTCCAGATAAGTGGTTGTCCAGTCTCTTCTCAACAGCCTCCAGTGAACTTCTGAAGGCCAGCTGTTCCACTGTTGGATTGTTCTCATTATTAGGAAATTTATCCTTATTTCTAAGTTATTTCTAGGGCAGTGGTGGCGAACCTATGGCACGGGTGCCAGAGGCGGCACTCAGAGCCCTCTCTGTGGGCACGCGCACCATCGCCCCAGTCCTAGGCCTTCAGCTGGGTTTTATAAAACCTTTTCGCTTTAGGCCTCTGCCGCCATGTGCAAAAAAAAAAAGATTCAATCAGTCAATTTCAACTTCTCGTGGGAAAGAAGATCTTGCAAAGTTGGAATTGATTGATTGAACTTTTTAGTCTGTGTGCCGTTACCACAGCCACGCCTACCCCACTGGCCACACCCACCCAGTGGGCCACACCCACCCAGCACTCAACGATGCATAAGTGGGTTTTGGGTTGCATTGCTGGCTGTGGAATCCTGGGAGTTGAAGTCCACATGCCTTAAAATTGTCAAGGTTGAGAAACACTGCTGTATTCAGATGCATCCCCTTACTTTCAAGGGTATATTTCTCAGCATTATTTTGGATTTTATCACATTTGATTGATGGGGTCTTAGCTTGTCTACAGTCTGTTCTCTCTGCCAATCTGGGCCCTGCCTATTGCCTCCCATTCTCAAGGACAGATTGATTGATACAGCAGCCACTAATAATTTGAATGTGAGATGCTCAACGGAGTCATTGCCCTAAATTGAGTCTCTCGGCTATCCTGGTCTTTTGTTGCCTTTCGGATGTGCTTGTTGGAAATGCTGGCAACTGCAGGAGCCCACCTGTGGAGTGTGTCAACAGAGGATGCCTGCACCATACAGAGCCAATTGTTCCCCTTTTGATGAATGCAAGAAACCAGACGTAAATAGGGTATTTATTTAATTTATCACATTTTAAAACACTCATCTTCTTCCTTTAGGGAAAAAATAAATATTCCAGAGAAAGGAGACTCTGAATACTGAAGCTGTCTCTCTCAAAGGTGGTTTTGTTCCATAAAAAAAAAACTGAGGCAGAGTGTTCCAGTGGCTAGTAAAAAAATCACAACACAGACTCCTCAAACGCCACTTGTGTGAAGTGTTGAATAGCATCAAAGGTTTGAATAACTAGAATTGGAATGGACCTTGGAGGTCATCTAGTCCAACCCCGTTCAAGCAGGAGACCCTCAACCATGTTAGACAAATGGCTGCCCAAAAAGTTTTGAAACCAAGAGAATATACCGCTGCCCGTTCTCTTCTTTCAGAATTAAGAAACACTTTTCCAGATGTGGCTTACTACAGCAGGTCAGCGAAGGATGCTGGGAGTTGTAGTTCATCAACACCAGTGTTGAGTGCAGTCATGCAGAGATTGATGAAGTACATCTTCCCATGTTCCTCACCACTAAACTGCTGGGCAAGGCAGCCACATCTGGAAAACCTGACCAATTTCAACCCCAAAAGAATAAAATAGGTTTTAGTGGGAATTTAGCGCTGGCTTTTCTCGTGAACAAAACAGGGCATTGTAGCCCCAAAAGGCCATGCTTAGAGTTAGTGCACACTCTGTGGCTGAGAAAAGAACATCCTTAACCGCAAACCATGTGCAGAGAGCAGACCAATCATTGTTTTTTGCACAACTATTCCAGTGCGATAAATAGCACTCATAACACAACAAAGCAGTGATATGCATCTGTAATACAATGTTTTTCAACCTCTGCAAATTTAAGATGTGTGGACTTAACAATTCCCCAAATAGCTATGCTTAAATCGTGCTGGCTGGGGAATTCTGGGCATTGAAGTCCACCCATCTTAAACTTGCAGAGGTTGAAAAACACTGCTCTACTACAAGCAGCAAATGCTGGTTACCCATAGAGCAGAACAAGGAGGCAGAATAGAGAGGCTGTAAGCCACCATCACATTTGCCGCAAACACCATCCCTGAGGAACTGGCTTTCTACATACGGGGAGAGATCTGCATACCTTCAGCCAGCATTTCAAGGCAGATCATTCTTTTGAAACCCGCATGCCACCTCAGCTGCAGACCCGCTCTGAGAGATCTAACAGCGTCTCCTCCCCTTTGCTGTTCACAAGGAGATAGGAAGTCCGGTTCTCCAATGGAGCTGAATCCCTGAAGGAGCCCTTCTGGAAGACGATGCTCTCGTCGATCACGGCCAAGCCGTGCGCCCGGCATAAGTCAGTGGCCTCTTCTGGGCTGTCGATGGCCAGGAGGTGGGTCAGCCGAGCCAGGGGGTACCGGCAATTCTTTGCATTGAAGCCGTGGCTGAAAGTGAGCAACGCTAGGCGCCGCGTCTTGGCCAGGTGGGGATAGAGGGCGCAGCTGGGAAGGTAAGGGAGCTCGCGGGCCAGGCGGAAGAAACGGGCAAAATTTCTTTCCAAGAAAGCCCAGTGGATGGCAAGCGCAGCCTTGAGGTCTGGAGATGCCCGGATATTGTCAGTCAGCTGGAGGATCTGCCAGAGGGCATCTGGGGAGCCTGGGGGGGGGGGAAGGGGAGGAACAGAGATCAGGCAACATTAAAACAAAGGGGGAGGACCCAGCGGTTTTCAATCTTCGTGTGACGGCGACCCGTCACATGGATGCGCCGCGCATGCGCGGCGCCACCCCCATGCGCGGCGGCGCCCCCACGCACGGCGCACATGCGCGACAGCGCCCCACGCACGGTGCACATGCGCGGTGGCGTCCCCATGTGCGGCGCACACACGTGGGGGTGCCCCCATGCGCGGCACGCATGCGCGGCACCACCCACATTCGCACCATGCATGCGCGGCACCATCCCGTGCGCACCCATGCGCAACACCGCCCCCATGCGCGGCCCCGTGCGCACCCCACCCCCACACGCAGCGCACATGCGCAGCCCCACCCCCACACGCAGCGCGCATGCGCGGCGGCGCCCCCAAATGGGGTCGCGACCCATAGGTTGAGAACCGCTGCAGTAAGAGGACCAACGAAGGAGCATAATGGATCTAGAGCAGAGGTTCCAACTTTGAGAATTTGCTTGGACTTCTACTCCCAGAATCCCCCAGCCAGCACGCTTTATTCACGCTTTACATTTACATTTGCTTTAGCAACCATTCAAAGTTACCACGGCATTGAAAAAGTGACTTGTGACTTTTTCACACTTACGACCCTTGCAGCGTTCCTGTGGTCACGTGACCAAAACTCAGACGCTTGGCAACTGACACATATTTACGACGGTCGTTGTGTCCCGGGGTCACGTGATCCTCTTTTGTGACCTTCTGACCAGCAAAGTCAATGGGGAAGCCGGATTCACTTAACCACCGCGTCACTAAGTGAACAACTGCAGTGATTCACTTCACAAGGGTGGCAGGAAAGGTCACCAAATGAGGCAAAATTCACTGAACCGTCTCACTTAGCAACGGAAATGTTGGGCCCCACTGCAGGTACAGGGATGTCCTTCTCAGCTCCCTCCCTCTGCAGAGGTTCTCAACTTTGGCCACTTTAAGACTTGTGGACTTCAATTCCCAGAATTTTGGGATGGGAGTCGAAGTTGAGGGAAGTTAACCCAGAGAAAGAAATATTAAAAAGGGCAGAAAAATATATTTTTCCTCAAAAGGACTTTTTAAAACCAAACCTGGCCCCAAATCTATCTCTCTGCCCCAAGCAAGACTTTAGCCCCATACAAATGCAGATATAAAACCACCAGAAAGTTGGAGCCAGAGCAATCAAAAAGACAAAGAGAAATTCTGCATGCCCCACCCAAACTCTAGGCCAGTGTTTCTCAACCTTGACAATTTTAAGGCATGTGGACTTCAACTCCCAGAATTCCACAGCCAGCAATGCTGGCTGTGGAATTCTGGGAGTTGAAGTCCACATGCCTTAAAATTGTCAAGGTTGAGAAACATTGCTCTAGGAGTTATCAGTCCCATCACCTGGGAAGCAGGATATGATAATAGGATTAAACCACAGATATCAAGGCCAAAGAATGGAGGCCTTTGAACTCTGGTGCTGGAGAAGACTCCTGCGAATCCCTTGGATCTGGTGAAGGGGGGAGCGCCACGAAAAGGAGAAAACTTCATAGTCTTTGTGCAGAAAACCATAGATCTAGCCTTGCTTTGTCTGCAACTAGTAATCCTTAGTAAAAGAACCTGTCACTTCAATCAAAGGGAGTCCAGGGCCTTCTTTTCCTGGGGACCTAGCTGGGGCAAGCCTGACACCAAATCATGGTCATGTGACATCTCACGGAATAACCGCATCGCTTAGCAATGAATTTGCCAGTCCCCATCGTTGTTTGTAACCGGTCAGTCCTAGAGGAGATCAACCCCGACTGCTCTTTAGAAGGCCACATCCTGAAGTTGAAACTCAAATACTTTGGCCACCTAATGAGAAGGAAGGACTCCCTGGAGAAGGGCCTAATGCTGGGAAAGATGGAGGGCAAGAGAAGAAGGGGACAACAGAGAAGGAGGTGGCTGGATGGAGTCCCTGAAGCAGGAGGTGTGAACTTAAATGGACTCCAGAAGATGGTAGAGGACAGGAAGTCCTGGAGGAAAGTTGTCCATGGGGTCGTAATGGGTCGGACACGACTTCGCAATTAACAACAACAATCAAGGCCTAGAACAGTGGTTCTCAACCTGTGGGTTGCGACCCCATTTGGGGTCGAACGACCATTTCACGGGGGTCGCCAAACAATGCAGTCCGCCATTTTCCCCCCCCTTTTCCTTAGCTGTGCTCCTCCCTTTTATTCTATTGGCTTTTGAAAGCCAGTAGAATAGACTCTCTTGAATAGAGTCTAATTCTATTGGCTTTCAAAAGCCGATAGGAATTGTCCAGGCTGTCTCTGCCCTGCTGAGCCCGCCAAAAGTCCCATTCTGCAAACGGTGCTGCACCAGTTGAGTAGTCCTCAACTTACGACCGGTTGAGCAGTCCTCGACTTACGACCGGTTGGGGTCGTGGCATTAAAAAGGTTGAGAACAACTGGGCTAGACAAACACTCAGAAACAGCCTCAAGGTTCATGCCACAGGAAACTATTCCAAACAAGGCTAGAGGGGGTATAAAAAAACCTACTGCCCATGTGCTCTCTCTTTTTCCTCTCTGCTCCTTGCAAGGACCATCTTTCTGCTTCTTCAATAAACTGCAACTTCTTCCCAAAGCAGTTGCCACGTTGCCTATTTATTCCCGGCTTGGATGAAACCAGGATGAAGACTTTACTTCTCACAAAGTCCACAAGTCTTCAAGTGGCCAAGGTTGAGAACCCCTGCAAGCCTACGGGCAACCTTTTTTTTTTTTTTCCCCTCCCCTGGCATCCTTTCTCCCCCTCCCCACCGAATCCCACCCCCGGGGGTTGCCTACCCTCCCCTCCCCATTCCAAGGCGAGACCCCCCCTCCCCGGGGCTCACCCAGGTGGTAGAGCAGGAAAAGCGCCTGGAAGCGCGGCTGGGCAGGATGCGCGTCGGGGCGGCGGTAAGCGCGGCGCAGGGCGGCGAAGGTCTCGCGCAGCTGCCCGTCGTGCAAGTGGGCGTCGAAGCGGGCGGGCGCCTCGTGGCCCAGCCGGGCGCCGGCGTGGAGCAGGTAAACCAGGGCGCGCTCCAGCAGGGCGGCGCAGGGCGCGGCGGGCGGCCGCTGCAGCGCCAGATCCAGCCGGACGGCGCGCAGGCGGTCGGCCACGAAGGCGCAGCGCTCGGCCGGCGACGCCCCGCTCGCCTCGGCCCCCGCCGGGCCCAGCAGGTGCCGCACCGTGGCCAGCAGCACCGCCGGCGGGCGCAGGTCGCCGGGCGGCGGCGGAGCCCGGCCGGCCGCCGGGCGGGAGACCTCCGTCACTGCCCGCCGAGAGTCCGGCTGGCCATCCGCGCCCAGCTCCAGCCGGTGCAGCCGCCCCTGGCGCCGCCGCCGCGCGAACTCCGCCGCCGGGCACATGGCCGGGCAGAGGGCCGGCCGCGGGGGATCCTCCGCCTCGCTCATGCCGCCCCGGGAGGCGCGCAGGCTGGTAGGCAGAGCCGACCCGGGCGGAGGTTGCTCCGGCCGCTCGTTACGCGCCCTCCCGGAGGCCGCTGCTCGGCGCCCGCTTGCAGGGAAGTGCCTGCGGGGGACCGATCCCCGCCCTCTTCCGCGCAGCACGTGGAGGCAACGGGCCTCGCTGCGCGAGCCCGTTCGGGGAATCCTAAGACTGTAGGATCGCGCGCTTCGGCCAATTTTTTTTTAATTATTTATTTTTCTCCCCCTGGTTCCTGGAAAGGGTTTGCGGATTGCGGCATGGGAGACAAAGGAGGAGGAGCAGCATTAGCAGCAGCAGCTGCTCCCCGGGGATGATGGCGTTTGTAGTGGCGGAAGGCAAATGCTGGCTGTGGAATTCTGGGAGTTGAAGTCCACGCGCCTTAAAATGGTCAAGGTGGAAGAAACACTGCCCTAAATGCATTGCACCAATCCCCTTAGTCGTATTTCGCGTGTAGCAAAAGCTGAAAAAAAGCTAAGAATTCTTAGTTGCCCCCCCCCAAAGCGGGAGGGGAAAAAAAAATGCAAACGCGATCTTCGAAGCGGGTGTCGTGCTTTGCGTGTCTCGCTAACGGATTATAGATCTATGTGCCTCCCCCCCCCCCGGCTTGGCCAATCCTCTGCTCTTCCCAGAAAGGGGCGGGCCTTGGTAGCGAAGGATTCCAGGGGCGTGGTCCGATTTGTGCTCAATCCCGACTTCGGATTCTTTTCGGACTTCTGCCTGCTGGGTTTTAAAATTCAGATCGGTTGTTTTAGATCTTTCGGAGGTTTATTTTAAAATAATTTTTTTATGCGTTACGTGGTATGTAATTAAATAAAAACCATTTTACTTTAAACCTGGTTTATTGAACCTTTTGTTATCTGAGGTTTGTTTCATAGAATCTGGGTTTATTTGAGCACGAAGATTTGGACTTATTTAAACCTTGCTTGGAAGCCTCGCCTTAATTTTAGCAGTGCTCGAGTCGAGTTTACAAGGGACTCGTCTTCATAACACGCAAGGTTTTTTTTTTTTTCTGAGTAGACCTGGGAGCAGAGCAAAACTGTACCGTTTGTCTGAAATGGTATAGGGTTTCCTGCCTGAGCAGGGGGTTGGACTAGAAGACCTCCGAGGTCCCTTCCCTCCTCTCCTAGTCTGTATTTTCTTTTCTATATTTCCTATTCTATTCTATTCTGCATTCTATTCTATTCCATTCCATATTCTATTCTGTTCCATTCCATATTCCTATTCTATTATTCTATTCTTCATTCCATTATTCTATTCTATTCTATTCTATTCTACATTCCATTCCATTCTGCATTGTTTCTATTCTATTCTGCATTCTATTCTATTCTATTCCATTCCATATTCTATTCTGTTCCATTCCATATTCCTATTCTATTCTATTATTCTATTCTTCATTCCATTCTATTCTGCATTCTATTCTATTCTATTCCATTCCATATTCCTATTCTATTCTATTCTATTATTCTATTCTTCATTCCATTATTCTATTCTATTCTATTCTATTCTACATTCCATTCCATTCCGCAGTCTGTTTCTATTCTATTCTATTCTCTTCTCTTCTATTCTATTCCATTCCGTATTCTATTCTATTCCATTCAATATTCCTATTCTATTCTATTCTATTATTCTATTCTTCATTCCATTATTCTATTCTATTCTATTCTATTCTACATTCCATTCAATTCTGCATTCTGCAGTCTGTTTCTATTCTATTCTGCATTCTATTCTATTCTATTCTATTCTATTCTATTCTATTCTATTCTATTCTATTCTATTCTATTCTATTCTCAACTTCCGCCCCCCAGCAACATGCCAAGGATCTGCTCCAACGTTTGAATGGCAGAGAAAACTTCCTAATAAGGTAGTCCTTGACTTACAATCAATTTCTGTTGCTAAGTGAGGCATTTAAGTGAGTTTTGCCCATTTTCTTGCCACAGTTAAATGAATCGCTGCAGTTCTTAAGTTAGTAACACTGTTGTGAAATGAATCTTTCTTCCCCGTTGACTTTGTAAGGTCGCAAAAGGGGATCACGTGACCCCGGGACACTGCAACGGTCATAAATATGAGCCAGTTGCCAACTGTCTGAATTTTGAATAGTCATAAGTCACTTTTTTCAGTGCGGTTGTAACTTCGAACGGTTACTAAACAAACTGTTGTTCAGTCAAGGATTACCTGTATATTGTATTTATGTCCATGCGTATGTTTTTGCTTTTACAGGCCAAAAATGGTGGTTCCCTTAATTCCATGTATCAAACTGATTTTCCAGCTGATTAGGACAATGTTGGTCACGGCCTGGAAGATCTATTCTTGCTTTTGCAGATTTGTCTGCTCTGCATTGCTTGAAAATATGGACACCTCAAGGGAAATAATAGTTGCAAGTGAACAACAAAACAACCCCAAAAGAGCACAGTGGTTAATTAAAAGGTTAATAAACAGTTTATTTGCATTTTACAAGATCAGTTTCCATACATTCTCAATTAATTTGCCATTAAAGTGCTGAAAAATAGTTTTCTTTGTATTGTTTGGTTTTATAATCAAGGTACAGTTAATGACAAAAGATAACAATTTGTATCTGTTGGGAGGAATTAATGACAAAAATACATGTTCCTCAAAGAAGGAAACTTCTTTCTTTTACAAAAATAAGAAATATACAGAAGCAACTAAGATGCTGTCATAAGGATTGTGGCTTGAATTATTTTGCAACAGTAATGCATCTTTTGAACAACAAATAAATTACATGTGGATTGGAGTCAGTTTAGTTGTTTTATCGAACAAATAAAAAGTCATTTTTGTTGCAACCAAGGCCCAAATGTGACACATCTCACTTGCCTCTGTATATGTGCAGTGTTTCTTTTTCATATATCCATAATTTTAAATGATAAAACATTTTAGCCCCCTGCAGGTAAAAGCAAAAAAATAAAATAAACCCCTAATAGTTAAAATTAACACATTTTCATGGATCAACACTGAAGATATTCAGTGAATTGAAATATATATATAATATATCTCAATCAAAGCTTGCTTAGGTAAACATAAAGCTCTTATAGCATACAAAGCACAATCCTATGCCTGAACATAAAAATAAAATCATCCAAAATACTCCCAAAAAACTGTACATCTATCTTCCTTATGGCACAGCTTTAAATATCACATAATTCAGGCTTTTCAAAATGGATCACTTCTCCGTCTGCAAAATATTGCCTGTTGCTCATCTGTATATCTGGAAGGATTTTATATTGACTGAACTCAAACTGATACAGCTGACTGATGCCACCACAGTTTATTTCAAGGCTGCTTTTTAAAGTTTTTTTTTTAAAAAAATACGCGTGTTCTTGGTGCAATTCAGCCAAGACCACCATTGTGCACCTTAGGAAGAATTTGGGGATTTTCACAACCCCAGCAAAGGGTTGGAAATTTCGAGTAGGATCCATCGTGAACTCACCATGAAAATTGTGCCAATGATATATAATCTGCTTGCCATCAGCCCTATGGGTAGATGACCACAGACGTTGCTGTATCAGTTTTAGTGGGTTTAGATCTCTGGAAGATAGCAGTCTTTCAGTGGAACCTGCCCTATTCACAGTAAAACAGTAATCACTTTGCTTGAAAACCCTACTATTTCACTGTAGATTACCTGTTTCATTGCAAAATATTTGAAGCCGGGGGAAAATATAAATATACAGAGGGAGAAGGAGAGGGCAGTTGGGCGGGAGGGACATTATATACAGGGGCGTTATGTACACGAGCCGTTTCCTGAACTATTCTTTCTTTTTTGCCACTGTCAACTCAACTGCTGGCACTCGGAAGCCCGCTTTCGTCCCGCTTTCATTACTTGAGGATGAGGAGAGTCGAGATTGTATTCCGCTTCCTTGTATTCTCCCTGCCTCTTCGTCGCTTCCCGTGACCTCGTAAGACCCTTTGCTTTTTGACCCTATCCCCCCAAAAGTGCCAAATTTGAGCTTGGCATGCTTGCCTTTGTCTCCTTCGTGCTCCAGTGTACCGGTCGGGGTGGAGTGCGAGGAGTGCTCGTCACTAAACGAGGACGACCGGTGCCGAGATTTTTTGGTCTTAAAGAAGGAGAACTTTCCTTTGGGTGAGCTGGCTGCTTCCCCTACTTCCCCCTCAGCTTCTAAGGACCCTAAACTTGCTTTGAGCTCTCCTTCGCCTCCGGCCACAGACACCGAGGCCTCTGGGGAGCCCACACTTCCCTTGGCTTTGGGTCTGGAGAACGCAAACTTGGGCATTTTGATTTTAGATTTTTTCAATTTCAGCTCGGGTTCTTCCAGTTCCAGCGTCCCAGCCTCAACGTGGAGACTTGCTTGGGGCGGTTGGGGAAACTCAACGTCGACCCCAACTTCCCTTCCCACCGGTTCCTGCCCTGCCACCACAAATTTGGGTATTTTCATTTTAGGGAAGGACACCTTCCCAGCTGAGCTTTCTAAATGGGCATGGGGAGCATCCATCCCAACAGAAGGACCTTTGATATTTAATTTGGGACCACTGAGATCACCTCCTATCTTTGGTCCAGGAAAGTGAAGTTCCCCTGTCCCTTTGGCACTCGCGTGTAGCTCTGGTGTTTTGGCCTTGGGCCCTTTCAGATTGACCTCAAAGTCTGACCCAGAAAGCTTTGGACCTGAGACATTGAAGGAAGGTCCTCTCAGACAGATATCAGGGATCCCAGTGTCCAGGTCCAGGCCAGAGATCTTCGTACCAGGCATTTCCAGTCCAACATGTTGACCTTTCAAGTCAGTCGCAATCTGGGCATCTCCTTGCAAACTTGGTCCTTTCATGTTCAAATCAAAGTCAACTTCAGGTCCTTTGATCTGTGGTCCTGCAATGCTCCCTCCTTCACCAGCGATGGTAAACTGTGGAAGTTTCATGCAGGGAAGTTTAACTCCCCCTCCAAAGCCTTCCACCTTGTGGGATGTCACGCTACCAGAAATGCCAAGATCTTTGGTCTTTGGTCCTTTCAGATTGAGGTCCACCTCAGGTCCACAAATGCCTCCTTCCGGAGTCATCTTAACTGCCGGCCCCTTCACGTCAACCTCTGGAGCTGTGACACTGACATCTAGACCCGAAGGCTTTTGCATCTGAAACCTCCCTTCAAATCCACTGACGCCAACATCTGGCGCGCCGACGTCTATCTTTGGAGCTTTCATCTCACCAGAAAGACCCAGGTCTTTCCCTAGCTTTGGTCCTCTCAGGTTCACGTCAATTTCAGGAATGCTTGCCTCCCCTCCAATTCGTGGGGAAGAGACGTCCAGGTGTGCAGAGGGCATCTGTCCTTGGATGTCTACATCGGGCCCCTCCAGGTTCACCCCCGGCTTCCCAAATTTGGGCATGCTGAACTTGGGGAATTTTAACTTCCCTCCTGAGCCTTGGACTTCAGCACTTGGGAGATCAACATCACCTTTCAGCTTTGGTCCTTTCAAGTGAACATCGACGCCAGGGGCAGAGATTGAAGGTGCAGAAACATCCACAGAGGGTAAGCTGATTGATGGACCTTTCAGGTTGATGTCAGGAATGGCAAGACTGGCGTCGGCGCTGGGGATTCTCAGATCTCCTTCCAATTTGGGACCAGTCAGGCCAATGCTTTGACCAGAGAGCTTGAACTCGGGGTCCTTAAGGCCAATATCCGGACCTCCAATGTTGAGGCTGGTGCTTCCACTGGGGATGGAAGCTTCCAGACTTGGTGTTTTCAGACTGGGTGAAGTGACATCTAGTCCTGGCATCTTGACCTCTGCTTCCGCCTTGGGCAAAGAAGCATCAGCCTTGAACATGGGTGATTTTATATCAAACTCAACATCAGGAAATGAGAGTTTTCCAAAGACCGGTTTCTTCCCCTTGGGGGATTTGATGTTGGCATCTGCTTTCAGGGATGCTTCTGGGACAGTGAGGCTTCCTTCCAAATCTGGTGATTTCACACTGGCGTCCATTTCTCCGCTCACATCAAAACCAGCCTTCTTGCCTTTGACTTTAGGTCCGCTCATGTGGATTTTGGGCATTTTGAATTTGCTTTTCTTCCCTTTGGCAGAAAGAGCAATGTCGGGTGACTCAGCGTTCAGCTCGGCTTCCGGAAGAGACACGTCCAAAGTGGGAGATTTCACATCAGCCTTGGGGCTCTTTGCTCCAAATCCAAACTTCGGCATCTTAAACTTGGGGAGCTTAACGTTGCCCTCTGGCCCTTCAATATTCACATCAGGACATTCCAAGTCAATCTCTGGCCCTTTAACTTCAAGTCCTGGTCCTTCAAATCCTGGAATGGAGAGATCTGCATCGCCTTTCACCTTGTGACCTTTCAGATTTAAATCAATTTCTGGCATGGAGATCTGAGGTGTTTTGAAATGCATTTCAGGCATTTTAGGGCCCTTCCATTCTCCTTCTGGTCCTTTGAGGTCCAAACGTGGAGCTTCAATTTTCACATCAGACCCGGATACTTTCAACGCACCTTCAGGCAGATTGACATCCAACTGAGGTCCTTCTCCCGTGAATTCAGGGACACCAAATTTAGGAAGCTTCATCTTGGGTAGTTTGACTTTTCCATCTGGACCTTGGATATCAACAGTGGGCGCTGCAATGTCAATTTCAGGACCTTTGAAATCTCCTCCAAATTTTGGTCCAGAGACATCACCTTTCAGACCGAGCTGCACATCAGGCATGGAGATTTGGGGGGGTTTAATCTGCATTTCAGGCATCTTCATTTTGGGACCTTTCCAACTTCCTTCAGGACCTTCAACATTGATGTCTAGTCTGGGACCTCGGATGTCAACGTCGGGAGCCTTCAGGTCAGCCTCCAACTTAGGCCCAGAAACATCCACCTCTCCTTTCATTTTGGGACTTTTCACGTTCAAGTCAAAATCTGGCATGGAGATTTGGGGCGTTTTAAAATGCATTTCAGGCATCTTGATCTTAGGACCTTTAAGTTGTCCCTCAGGACATTCCAGTTCCACATCAGCCACCGAGACGTCTAGTTTAGGGCCCTTGATAGCAAAATCTGGTCCCCTCAAATCAGTATCTACTTTGGGAGCAGATACGTCTAGATCAACGTCTCCTTTCAGCTTAGGGCCTCTGAGGTTGAAGTCTACATCTGGCATGGTGATTTTGGGGGCCTTGATGTTAAAATCAGGCATTTGAAATTTAGGGCCTTTCATTTTGCCTCCGGGTCCTTTGATATCAAGGTCAGGAGGATGTATCTGAGGAACATTAACGTCTATTTCTGGACCTTTCAAATCACCTTCAATCTTTGGCACAGATATATCCACATCTCCTTTCACCTTTGGGCCTTTCAAGTTCATATCAGGCAGAGAGAATTTAGGGGCCTTAAAATGCATCTCTGGCATCTTAAATCTGGGCCCTTTCAACTTCCCTTCAGGTCCTTCAAGATCAACATCTGGAACATCAACGTCTACTTTGGGCCCTTTGAGGTCAAGGTCAGGGGCCTTCAGATCACCCTCCAAGCTCGGTACTGAGACATCCACATCTCCTTTCACTTTGGGACCTTTCAGGTTAAAGTCAAAATCTGGCATGGAGATTTTGGGAGCTTTGATGTTCATTTCAGGCATCTTAAATTTCGGACCTTTCCACTTTCCTTCAGGACCTTCAATGTCAACATCAGGTGCATCAATATCCAATTTGGGACCTTTGATATCCACATCTGGCCCTTTTAGGTCTCCTTCCAGCTTTGGGACAGACACATCCACATCTCCCTTCAGTTTTGGACCTTTGAGGTTCAGATCAACATCAGGCATTGAGATCTTGGGTGTCTTGAAGTGCATTTCAGGCATCTTAAACTTGGGACCTTTCACTTTTCCTTCTGGGCCTTCAATGTCCATACATGGTGCTTCAATATCTACTTTTGGGACAGAAACATCAAGGTCTGCTTTGGGGAGGCTTACATCCACATCTGGACCTTCCCCTTTGAAGCTGGGCATGCCAAATTTGGGCATCTTGAATTTTGGCATCTTCAGCTTTCCTTCTGGTCCATGAAGTTCAACATCAGGTGCATCAATGTCCAGTTTGGGACCTTTGAGATCTACATCTGGCCCTTTTAGGTCTCCTTCCAGCTGTGGGACAGAAACATCCACATCTCCCTTCAGTTTTGGACCTTTGAGGTTCAGATCAATATCAGGCATTGAGATCTTGGGTGTCTTAATGTGCATTTCAGGCATCTTAAACTTGGGACCTTTCACTTTTCCTTCTGGGCCTTCAATCTCCATACATGGTGCTTCAAGTTCAACTTTGGGGACAGAAACATCAAGGTCTGCTTTGGGGAGGCTTACATTCACATCTGGACCTTCCCCTTTGAAGCTGGGCATGCCAAATTTGGGCATCTTGAATTTTGGCATCTTCAGCTTTCCTTCTGGTCCATGAAGTTCAACATCAGGTGCATCAATATCCAGCTTTGGACCTTTCACGTCAATTTCTGGGCCTTTCAAATCACCCTCTGGAACTGAGACATTCAGGTCGCCTTTCAGTTTGGGAGTTTTCAGGTTTAAGTCCACATCTGGCATTGAGATTTTAGGAGTCTTAAAATGCATCTCTGGCATCTTAAATCTGGGCCCTTTCAACTTCCCTTCAGGTCCTTCAAGATCAACATCTGGAACGTCAAGGTCTAGTTTGGGCCCTTTGAGGTCAAGGTCAGGGCCCTTCAGATCACCCTCCAAGCTCGGTACTGAGACATCCACATCTCCTTTCACTTTGGGACCTTTCAAATTAAAGTCAAAATCTGGCATGGAGATTTTGGGAGCTTTGATGTTCATTTCAGGCATCTTAAATTTCGGACCTTTCCACTTTCCTTCGGGACCTTCAATGTCAACATCAGGTGCATCAATATCCAATGAAGGACCCTTGATATCCACATCTGGCCCTTCCAGCTTTGGGACAGACACATCCACATCTCCCTTCAGTTTTGGACCTTTGAGGTTCAGATCAACATCAGGCATTGAGATCTTGGGTGTCTTGATGTGCATTTCAGGCATCTTAAACTTGGGACCTTTCACTTTTCCTTCTGGGCCTTCAATGTCCAAGCTTGGTGCTTCAATGTCTCCTTTGGGAAGAGAAACATCAAGGTCTGCTTTGGGGAGGCTTACGTCAACATCTGGGCCTTCCCCTTTGAAGCTGGGCATGCCAAATTTGGGCATCTTGAATTTTGGCATCTTCAGCTTTCCTTCTGGTCCATGAAGTTCAATGTCAGGTGCATCAACGTCTAGTTTGGGACCTTTGATGTCAATTTCTGGGCCTCTAAGTTCTCCTTGCAATCCTGGGGCTGAGACATCCAAATCTCCTTTGAGTTTAGGTCCTTTCAGGTTTAAGTCCACATCTGGCATTGAGATTTTAGGTGCCTTGATGTTCATGTCAGGCATCTTAAATTTGGGTCCTTTCCACTTTCCTTCTGGAGCCTCCAGTTCAATATTGGGAACATCTACATCAAGTTTAGGTGCTTTGATATCAACCTCTGGGCCCTTCAGATCACCTTCCAATGTTGGTAAGGACACATCTGCATCCCCTTTTAATTTGTGCCCTTTCAGATTTAAGTCAAAATCTGGCATGGAAATTTTGGGAGCTTTAAAGTGCATGTCAGGCATCTTAAATTTGTGCCCCGTCACTTTTCCTTCTGGGCCTTCAAGGTCAACATCTGGGAGATCAACATCCACTTTGGGGCCTTTGAGGTCTACTTCTGGACCCTTCAAGTCACCTTCTAGCGTGGGAGCTTTGATATCAATATCTCCTTTGACTTTAGAGCCTTTCAAATTCAAGTCAAAATCTGGTACAGAGATTTTCGGGGTTTTAAAATGTATGTCAGGCATCTTAAACCTGGGCCCTTTCAGTTTTCCTTCAGGGACGTCAAGGTCAACGTCTGGAAGATCAACGTCCACTTTTGGACTTTTGATGTCCACATCGGGGCCCTTCAAGCCAGCCTCCAACTTCGGCACAGAGACATCGATGTCTCCCTTCAGTTTGGGGCCTGTCAGATTCAGGTCTACGTCTGGCGTTGAGATGTTAGGCGTTTTGATTTGCATTTCTGGCATCTTCATCCTGGGACCTTTTAGGTTCCCCTCTGGCCCTTCAAGGTCAGGAGTTTCAATGTCCACTTTGGGGCCTGACAAGTCAAGATCAGCTCTGGGTAGGGTTACATCCACCTCAGGAGCTTCTGCTTTGATGCCTGATATCCCAAACTTGGGCATCTTAAACTTAGGCATTTTGAGTTTGCCTTCCGGGCCGTGAAGATCAACCTCTGGTGCACCCACATCCATCTTGGGGCCTTTCAAATCTCCTTCCAGACTCGGTACAGGAACATTCAGGTCTCCTTTTAATTTAGGTCCTTTCAAATTTAATTCCACGTCAGGCATAGAGACCTTAGGGGAGGAAATATTCAACGACGGCATTTTAAATTTGGCACCTTTTGCTTTTCCTTGGATATCCACATCTGGACTCTGAACACCCCCTTTTGGTCTTGAGATATCGACCTCTGGTTTCTTAACCTTCACGTCCACTTCCGGCGTGTGAAGTTTGGGGCCAGAAAAATTGAACTTGGGAAGTTTAAATCTTGATTTCTTTGGTTTGGCTTCCATGTCTACTTTTGGTGCCTCCAGGTCAACATCAGGTCCTTTCAATGCAAGGTCAGGTCCTTTAATGTCACCTCCTACATCTCCTTTAAGTTTGGGACCTTTCAAATTCAAATCAATATCTGGCATTGAAATTTTGGGGACGTTAAAATGCATTTCTGGCATCTTCACTTTGGGACCTTTCAATTTTCCTTCTGGGTGTTCGATTTGCAGATCAGGTGTTTCAATATCTAGTTTGGGACCAGATATGTCCACTTCTGCCTTGGGTACGGTCACATCCACCGAAGGACCTTCTCCTTTAAATCCAGGCATTCCAAACTTGGGCATTTTAAATTTGGGCAGCTTGATTTTACCTTCTGGACCGTGCAAGTCAACATCAGGGATGTCGATGTCCACTTTGGGGCCTTGAATGTCCACATCAGGAGCTTCAACCTTTGGCAATGCAACATCCACATCTCCTCTCACTTTGGGACCTTGCACATTCAAATCAAAATCTGGCATGGAAATTTTGGGAGCTTTGACATTCATCTCTGGCATCTTAAATCTGGGCCCTTTCAATTTCCCTTCAGGTCCTTCAAGATCAACATCTGGAACGTCAACGTCTAGTTTGGGCCCTTTGATGTCAAGGTCAGGGGCCTTCAGATCACCCTCCAAGCTCGGTACTGAGACATCCACATCTCCTTTCACTTTGGGACTTTTCAAATTAAAGTCAAAATCTGGCATGGAGATTTTGGGAGCTTTGATGTTCATTTCAGGCATCTTAAATTTCGGACCTTTCCACTTTCCTTCAGGACCTTCAATGTCAACATCAGGTGCATCAATATCCAATGAAGGACCCTTGATATCCACATCTGGACCTTCCAGCTTTGGGACAGACACATCCACATCTCCCTTCAGTTTTGGACCTTTGAGGTTCAGATCAACATCAGGCATTGAGATCTTGGGTGTCTTGAAGTGCATTTCAGGCATCTTAAACTTGGGACCTTTCACTTTTCCTTCTGGGCCTTCAATGTCCAGATTTGGTGCTTCAATATCTACTTTTGGGACAGAAACATCAAGGTCTCCTTTGGGGAGGCTTACATCCACATCTGGACCTTCCCCTTTGAAGCTGGGCATGCCAAATTTGGGCATCTTGAATTTTGGCATCTTCAGCTTTCCTTCTGGTCCATGAAGTTCAACGTCAGGTGCATCAATGTCCAGTTTGGGACCTTTGATATCCACATCTGGCCCTTTTAGGTCACCTTCCAATTTTGGGACAGAAACATCCATATCTCCCTTCAGTTTTGGACCTTTGAGGTTCAGATCAATATCAGGCATTGAGATCTTTGGTGTCTTGAAGTGCATTTCAGGCATCTTAAACTTGGGACCTTTCACTTTTCCTTCTGTGCCTTCAATGTCCAAGCTTGGTGCATCAATGTCTCCTTTGGGAAGAGAAACATCAAGGTCTGCTTTGGGGAGGCTTACATCCACATCTGGGCCTTCCCCTTTGAAGCTGGGCATGCCAAATTTGGGCATCTTGAATTTTGGCATCTTCAGGTTTCCTTCTGGTCCATGAAGTTCAACATCAGGTGCATCGATGTCCACTTTGGGACCTTTGATATCCACATCTGGCCCTTTTAGGTCACCTTCCAATTTTGGGACAGAAACATCCATATCTCCCTTCAGTTTTGGACCTTTGAGGTTCAGATCAACATCAGGCATTGAGATCTTTGGTGTCTTGAAGTGCATTTCAGGCATCTTAAACTTGGGACCTTTCACTTTTCCTTCTGGGCCTTCAATGTCCAAGCTTGGTGCTTCAATGTCTACTTTGGGGACAGAAACATCAAGGTCTGCTTTGGGGAGGCTTACATCCACATCTGGACCTTCCCCTTTGAAGCTGGGCATGCCAAATTTGGGCATCTTGAATTTTGGCATCTTCAGCTTTCCTTCTGGTCCATGAAGTTCAACGTCAGGTGCATCATGTCCAACCTTTGATATCCACATCTGGCCCTTTTAGGTCACCTTCCAATTTTGGGACAGAAACATCCATATCTCCCTTCAGTTTTGGACCTTTGAGGTTCAGATCAACATCAGGCATTGAGATCTTGGGTGTCTTGAAGTGCATTTCAGGCATCTTAAACTTGGGACCTTTCACTTTTCCTTCTGGGCCTTCAATGTCCAAGCTTGGTGCTTCAATGTCTACTTTGGGGACAGAAACATCAAGGTCTGCTTTGGGGAGGCTTACATCCACATCTGGACCTTCCCCTTTGAAGCTGGGCATGCCAAATTTGGGCATCTTGAATTTTGGCATCTTCAGCTTTCCTTCTGGTCCATGAAGTTCAACGTCAGGTGCATCGATGTCCATTTTGGGACCTTTGATATCCATATCTGGGCCTTCCAGCTTTGGAACAGACACATCCACATCTCCTTTCAGTTTTGGACCTTTGAGGTTCAGATCAGGCATGGAGATTTTGGGAGCTTTGACGTGCATTTCAGGCATCCTAAACTTTGGACCTTTCCACTTTCCTTCAGGACCTTCAATGTCAACATCAGGTGCCTCAATATCCACCCTGGGACCCTTGATATCCACATCTGGACCTTTCAGGTCACCTTCCAGTTTGGGAACAGAAACATCCACATCTCCCTTCAGTTTTGGACCTTTGAGGTTCAGGTCAAATTCTGGCATGGAAAGTTTGGGAGATTTGATGTGCATTTCAGGCATCTTAAATTTGGGCCCTTTCCATTTCCCTTCTGGTCCTTCCATTTCAGCCTCAGGGACATCAACACCTAATTTGGGACCTTTGATATCCACACTTGGGCCTTTCAAATCCCCTCCCACTGTTGGTATAGATACATCAGCTTCCCCTTCCACTTTAGGCTTCCTCCAGTTCAAATCTATATCAGGCATAGAGATTTTAGGAACATTAAAATGCATTTCAGGCATCTTAAACTTAGGACCTTTAAGCTTTCCTTCAGGCCCTTCAAGGTCAACTTCAGGAAAATCAACACCAACTTTGGGCCCTTTGATGTCTACATCAGGGCCTTTCAGGTCACCTTCCAACTTTGGGACAGAAACATCCACGTCCCCCTTCATTTTGGGTCCCTTAAAGCCCAGGTCAAAGTCTGGCATGGATATCTTAGGAGCCTTGATATGCATTTCAGGCATCTTAAATCTGGGCGCTTTCAACTTCCCTTCAGGTCCTTCAAGATCAACATCTGGAACATCAACGTCTAGTTTGGGCTCTTTGAGGTCAAGGTCAGGGCCCTTCACATCACCCTCCAAGCTCGGTACTGAGACATCCACATCTCCTTTCACTTTGGGACCTTTCAAATTAAAGTCAAAATCTGGCATGGAGATTTTGGGAGCTTTGATGTTCATTTCAGGCATCTTAAATTTCGGACCTTTCCACTTTCCTTCGGGACCTTCAATGTCAACATCAGGTGCATCAATATCCAATTTGGGACCTTTGATATCCACATCTGGACCTTCCAGCTTTGGGACAGACACATCCACATCTCCCTTCAGTTTTGGACCTTTGAGGTTCAGATCAATATCAGGCATTGAGATCTTTGGTGTCTTGATGTGCATTTCAGGCATCTTAAACTTGGGACCTTTCACTTTTCCTTCTGGGCCTTCAATGTCCAAGCTTGGTGCTTCAATGTCTCCTTTGGGAAGAGAAACATCAAGGTCTGCTTTGGGAAGGTTTACATCCACATCTGGGCCTTCCCCTTTGAAGCTGGGCATGCCAAATTTGGGCATTCTGAATTTTGGCATCTTCAATTTTCCTTCTAGTCCATGAAGGTCAACATCAGGTGCATCAACGTCTAGTTTGGGACCTTTGATATCCACATCTGGCCCTTTTAGGTCACCTTCCAGCTTTGGGACAGACACATCCACATCTCCCTTCAGTTTTGGACCTTTGAGGTTCAGATCAATATCAGGCATTGAGATCTTTGGTGTCTTGATGTGCATTTCAGGCATCTTAAACTTGGGACCTTTCACTTTTCCTTCTGGGCCTTCAATGTCCAAGCTTGGTGCATCAATGTCTCCTTTGGGAAGAGAAACATCAAGGTCTGCTTTGGGAAGGTTTACATCCACATCTGGGCCTTCCCCTTTGAAGCTGGGCATGCCAAATTTGGGCATTCTGAATTTTGGCATCTTCAATTTTCCTTCTAGTCCATGAAGGTCAACATCAGGTGCATCAACATCTAGTTTGGGACCTTTGATATCCATATCTGGACCTTTTAGGTCACCTTGCAGCTTTGGGATAGACATATCAACATCTCCCTTCAGTTTTGGACCTTTGACGTTTAGGTCTACATCTGGCATGGAGAACTTTGGAGCTTTGATGTGCATTTCAGGCATCTTAAACCTTGGAGATTTCCACTTTCCTTCAGGACCTTGAATTTCTATATCTGGTGCATCAATATCCAATTTGGGACCTTTGATATCGACATCTGGACCTTTCAGGTCACCTTCCAACTTTGGAACAGAAACATCAACATCTCCCTTCAGCTTTGGACCTTTGAGATTCAAATCAACATCTGGCATTGAGATCTTTGGAGCTTTAATGTGCATTTCAGGCATCTTAAATTTGGGACCTTTCATTTTTCCTTCTGGGCCTTCAATGTCCAAACCTGGCCCTTCAAGTTCAATTTTTGGACCAGAAACATCAAGATCTCCTTTAGGGAGGCTTACATCCACATCTGGACCTTCCCCTTTGAAGCTGGGCATGCCAAATTTGGGCATTTTGAATTTTGGCATCTTCAGTTTTCCTTCTGGTCCATGAAGTTCAACATCAGGTGCATCAATGTCCAGCTTGGGACCTTTGATATCCACATCTGGCCCTTTTAGGTCACCTTCCAGCTTTGGGACAGACACATCCACATCTCCCTCCAGTTTTGGACCTTTGAGGTTCAGATCAATATCAGGCATTGAGATCTTTGGTGTCTTGATGTGCATTTCAGGCATCTTAAACTTGGGACCTTTCACTTTTCCTTCTGGGCCTTCAATTTCCATACATGGTGCTTCAATATCTACTTTTGGGACAGAAACATCAAGGTCTGCTTTGGGGAGGCTTACATCCACATCTGGACCTTCCCCTTTGAAGCTGGGCATGCCAAATTTGGGCATCTTGAATTTTGGCATCTTCAGCTTTCCTTCTGGTCCATGAAGTTCAACGTCAGGTGCATCAATGTCCATTTTGGGACCTTTGATATCCATATCTGGGCCTTCCAGCTTTGGAACAGACACATCCACATCTCCTTTCAGTTTTGGACCTTTGAGGTTCAGATCAACATTTGGCATGGAGATCTTTGGAGCTTTGATGTGCATTTCAGGCATCTTAAATTTGGGACCTTTCACCTTTCCTTCTGGGCCATCAATGTCCAAATTTGGTCCTTCGATTTCAATTTTTGGACCAGAAACATCAAGATCTCCTTTAGGGAGGCTTACATCCATGTCTGGACCTTCCCCTTTGAAGCTTGGCATGCCAAATTTTGGCATCTTGAATTTTGGCATCTTCAGCTTTCCTTCTGGTCCATGAAGTTCAATGTCAGGTGCATCAATGTCCATTTTGGGACCTTTGATATCCACATCTGGCCCTTTTAGGTCACCTTCCAGCTTTGGAACAGACACATCCACATCTCCCTTCAGTTTTGGACCTTTGAGGTTCAGATCAATATCAGGCATTGAGATCTTTGGTGTCTTGAAGTGCATTTCAGGCATCTTAAACTTGGGACCTTTCACTTTTCCTTCTGGGCCTTCAATGTCCAAGCTTGGTGCTTCAATGTCTCCTTTGGGAAGAGAAACATCAAGGTCTGCTTTGGGGAGGCTTACGTCAACATCTGGGCCTTCCCCTTTGAAGCTGGGCATGCCAAATTTGGGCATTTTGAATTTTGGCATATCCACATCTGGCATGGACATCTTTGGAGATTTGATGTGCATTTCAGGCATCTTAAATTTGGGACCTTTCACTTTTCCTTCTGGACCTTCAGTATCTAAACTTGGTCCTTCAAATTCAACTTTTGGACCAGAAACATCAAGATCTCCTTTAGGGAGGCTTACATCCACATCTGGGCCTTCCCCTTTGAAGCTGGGCATGCCAAATTTGGGCATTTTGAATTTTGGCATCTTCAGGTTTCCTTCTGGTCCATGAAGTTCAACATCAGGTGCATCGATGTCCACTTTCGGACCTTTGATGTCCACATCTGGCCCTTTTAGGTCACCTTCCAATTTTGGGACAGACACATCCACCTCTCCCTTCAGTTTTGGACCTTTGAGGTTCAGATCCACATCTGGCATTGAGATCTTTGGAGCTCTGATATGCATTTCAGGCATCTTGAACTTCGTCCCTTTTAATTTTCCTTCTGGATATTCCAAGCTAACGTCTGGCGATTCCACATCCAGTTTAGGAGACTTGATATCTATCTGAGGTCCTTCAAGATTGCCTCCAATATTTGGTACAGTTACGTCCATTTGTCCTCTTGCTCCAGGTCCTTTGATGTTCAAGTCTACATCAGGCATGGTGATCTTTGGTGCTCTGATATTCAGTTTTGGCATCTTAAATTTTGAACCTTTCAGCTTTCCTTCAGGACCTTCAACATGTAAATCTGGAACTTCCACATCTATCTTTGGACCTGAGATGTCAATTTCTCCCTTTGGCAAGTTTAGTTCTGCATCAGGACTTTCTAGTTTGGGGCTTTGAACCGTAAAAACTGGCATCTTCAGTTTTGGCATTTTTAGTTTTCCCTCACTCTGGAGATCAGCGTCTGGACCACTTAGCTGTACTGTTGGCCTCTTGATATCAACGCTGGGTCCCTTCAATTCTCCTTCTAATGTTGGAGCAGAAAGATCTAAATCACTTTTCACTTTTGGACCTTTCAAATTCAAGTCAATATCTGGCATGGAGATTTTGGGTGTTTTGAAATGCATTTCAGGCATTTTAAACCCTTCAAGATCCATACTTGGCATATCCATCTCTACTTTCGACCCCGGAACATCCAAATCTGCCTTGGGAAGGCTCACATTAAAATCAGTAGCCTCTCCTTTCAACCCAGGTGTTCCAAATTTTGGTAGCTTCATTTTGGGCATCTTCAACTTGGCTTCTGGGCCTTCAAGTTCAATATCTGGAAGATCGACATCCAATTTTGGTGTACCAAGATTCGGTCCTTTCAAATCTCCTTCGAGTTTTGGAACAGTTACATCCATTTCACCCTTCATTTTGGGGACTTTGAGATCTACATCTGGCATGGAGATTTTGGGAGCTTTAATATTCAGTTTTGGCATCTTAAATTTGGGTCCTTTTAGTTTTCCTTCTGGGCCTTCAATGTCCAAACTTGGTACTTCTACATCAACTGTTGGAACGGCAACATCAAGCTCTGCTTTGGGCAGATTTAAATCCATATCAGGACCTTCTCCTTTGAAGCTGGGTATTCCAAACTTAGGCATTTTGAATTTTGGCATCTTCAGTTTCCCTTCTGGTCCATGCAGGTCAACATCTGGAGCTTCAATATCTAGTTTTGGACTTTTGATATCAATTTCTGGACCTTTTATGTCAGCTTCTAATTTTGGAATACAAACATCACCTCCTGTGAGTTTGGGCCCCTTTAGATTCAAATCAGTGTCTGGCATGGAGATTTTAGGACCTTTAATATGCATTTCTGGCATCTTGACTTGGGGACCTTTAATTTTGCCTTCTGGTGCTTCAATGTCCAATCTTGGGGCTGCAATATCGACTTTAGGAGCAGAGAAGTCAAGGCTGCCCTGGGGAAGATTGATGTCCACAACAGGAACTTCACCTTTCAAACTGGGCACGCCAAATTTAGGCATTTTCAATTTGGGCATTTTGAGTTCAGGTCCATGAAGGTCAACATCTGGTGCTACAATGTCCACTTTAGGAGCCTTGATGTCCACAGCTGGGCCCTTCAGTTCTCCTTCCACTCTTGGCATGGAAACACCCATGTCCCCCTTGATTTTGGGGCCTTTCAAATTTAGGTCAATGTCTGGAATGGAGATTTGTGGAGTTCTGATATGAGGCCCTTTCAGTTGACCTGAAGGACCTCTGAGGCCAATGTCAGGAGCAGCAATGTCCACTTTGGGGCCCTTGATGTCTATTTGTGGGCCTTTCAGGTCACCTACTTTTGGCGCGGAAACATCCATATCACCCTTTAATGATGGCCCTTTTAGGCTCAAGTCAAAATCTGGAATTGAAACCTTTGGTGCCTCAATGTCCAATCCAGGAGCTCCAATATCTGCTTTAGGACCTGAGATGTCAAGGCTGCCCTGGGGAAGACTGATGTCGACATCAGGAATGTCAGATTTCAAGCTGGGCATGCCAAATTTAGGCATTTTCAATTTGGGCATTTTGAGTTCAGGCCCATGAAGGTCAACATCTGGTGCTACAAGGTCTACTTTAGGAGCCTTGATGTCCACTCCCTTCAGTTCTCCTTCCATTCTTGGTATGGAAACACCCATGTCCCCCTTGACTTTGGGGCCTTTCAAATTTAGGTCAATGTCTGGAATGGAGATTTGTGGAGTTTTGATATGAGGCCCTTTCAGTTGACCTGAAGGACCTTTGACACCAATGTCAGGAGCAGCAATGTCTACTTTGGGGCCTTTGAGGTCTATCTGTGGGCCCTTCAGGCTGCCTTCTAGTTTGGGCACAGAAACATCCATGTCACCTTTTAATGATGGTCCTTTCAGGCTCAGGTCAACATCTGGAACTGAAAACTTTGGTGCCTCCACATGTAGTCCTGGCATCTTGACTTTGGGACCTTTAATTTTGCCTTCTGGTGCTTCAATGTCCAATCTTGGGGCTGCAAAATCTACTTTAGGAGCAGAGAAGTCAAGGCTGCCCTGGGGAAGATTGATGTCGACATCAGGAACGTCAGGTTTCAAGCTGGGCACACCAAATTTAGGCATTTTCAATTTGGGCATTTTGAGTTCAGGCCCATGAAGGTCAACATCTGGTGCTACAAGGTCTACTTTAGGAGCCTTGATGTCCACAGCTGGGCCCTTCAGTTCTCCTTCCACTCTTGGCATGGAAACACCCATGTCCCCCTTGACTTTTGGGCCTTTCAAATTTAGGTCAATATCTGGAATGGAGATTTGTGGGGCTTTGATATGAGGCCCTTTCAGTTGACCTGAAGGACCTCTGAGGCCAATGTCAGGAGCAGCAATGTCCACTTTGGGGCCTTTGAGGTCTATCTGTGGCCCCTTCAGGTCACCTCCTAGTTTGGGCACAGAAGCATCCACATCACCCTTTAATGATGGCCCTTTCAGGTTCAGGTCAAAATCTGGAATTGAAACCTTTGGTGCCTCAATGTCCAATCCAGGAGCTTTTATATCTACATTAGGACCTGAGATGTCAAGGCTGCCCTGGGGAAGACTGATGTCGACATCAGGAATGTCAGGTTTCAAGCTGGGCATGCCAAATTTAGGCATTTTCAATTTGGGCATTTTGAGTTCAGGCCCATGAAGGTCAACATCTGGTGCTACAAGGTCTACTTTAGGAGCCTTGATGTCCACAGCTGGGCCCTTCAGTTCTCCTTCCACTCTTGGCATGGAAACACCCATGTCTCCTTTGACTTTGGGGCCTTTCAAATTTAGGTCAATGTCTGGAATGGAGATTTGTGGAGTTTTGATATGAGGCCCTTTCAGTTGACCTGAAGGACCTTTGACGCCAATGTCAGGAGCAACAATGTCTACTTTGGGGCCTTTGAGGTCTATCTGTGGGCCCTTCAGGCTGCCTTCTAGTTTGGGCACAGAAACATCCATGTCACCTTTTAATGATGGCCCTTTCAGGCTCAGGTCAACATCTGGAATCTTTGGTGCCTCCACATGTAATCCTGGCATCTTGACTTTAGGGTCCTTAATTTTGCCTTCTGGTGCTTCAATGTCCAATCTTGGGGCTGCAATGTCTACTTTATGAGCAGAGAAGTCAAGGCTGCCCTGGGGAAGATTGATGTCGACATCAGGAATATCAGGTTTCAAGCTGGGCACACCAAATTTAGGCATTTTCAATTTGGGCATTTTGAGTTCAGGTCCATGAAGGTCAACATCTGGTGCTACAATGTCCACTTTAGGAGCCTTGATGTCCACAGCTGGGCCCTTCAGTTCTCCTTCCACTCTTGGCATGGAAACACCCATGTCCCCCTTGACTTTGGGGCCTTTCAAATTTAGGTCAATGTCTGGAATGGAGATTTGTGGAGTTCTGATATGAGGCCCTTTCAGTTGATCAGAAGAACTCTTGATGCCAACGCCACGAGCAGCAATGTCCACTTTGGGGCCCTTGATGTCAATCTGTGGGCCCTTCAGGTCACCTTCCAATTTGGGCATGGAAACATCCACATCACCCTTTAATGATGTCCCTTTTAGACTTTCAACCAAGGTCTGGCCCAGCCCCTTTGGTAGCTTCATTGGGCATCTTCAACTTGGGCATGGGCCTTCAAGTTACCTGGAAGATCGAATGGTCCACCAAGTACACAAGGGGCCCTCAATACTCATACTAATCTCCAAGAGTTTTGTTCAGTTACATCCATTTCACCCTTCAAAAATGGGGACTCCTGAGATCTTGGACACTTGGCATGGGTTCAATTTTGGGAGCTTTAATATTCAGTTTTGGGGTCTCTAAATTTGGGTCCTCTTTAGTCCCTCCTTCTTGGAACACTTCAATGTCTGCAAACCGGTAACAGACATCAACTGTTGGAATATCCATGGCAACATCAAGCTCTGCTTCAGATTTCTCTTGAAGGCCAATGTCTGGACCTTCAAAAAGCTGGGTAGATCCAAACACATTTTGAATTTTGGCATCTCCAGTTTCTTTTACACCCATCCATGGTTCTGGTATCAACATCTCTGGAGCGCAATATGGGGTTCTGGAGGACTTTTGATCCTCAATTTGTTTGGATGGTCCTGATTATGTCAGTTTCTAATTTTGGATTTGAGGAACTTCAATCACCTCCACCACCTGGCCCCTTTAGATTCATTTGGGCAGTCCTCATTCTGCAGGAGAATGCAAGTTGACCTTTAGCTTTGATATGCATTTCTGGCAGACCTGGACTTGGGCACTTTTTTAATTTCAGTGCCTGGAGGGCATGGAGACATTTCAATCCCTTGGGGCAACATCCTCTGCCCTCATTCAGTAGCCTTTTTCAGGTGTTTAGGAGAAGTTCAAGGAACTGCCAACTGAGTTTTGGAACAGTTACATTGTTTTCCATCATGGACTTTCAGGGCATGGGTCCTTCAATGTCCTTGGTCTGTTGGAACGGCTCAAGCTCAGATCCATATCAGGACCTTCTCCTTTGATTATTCCAAACTTTGGGCATCTTCAGATGTTCTGGAGGTTTTCCAATGGAATGGCTTCTAACATCTGCCCCACAAGTGTCCACCTTTAGGGCAACACCTTGCCTTCCTTCATGTCCAATCTTGGAAGACTGGAGCAGAGTCAAGGCTTCTTCTTTCCTGGTCCACAAGTTCTTGTCAACATCTGGACAATACCCATGTCCACAGCCCCTTCAGACTCTTTGGGGCCTTTCAAATTTAGGTCAATGTCTGGAATGGAGATTTGTGGAGTTCTGATATGAGGCCCTTTCAGTTGACCTGAAGGACCTCTGAGGCCAATGTCAGGAGCAGCAATGTCCACTTTGGGGCCCTTGATGTCTATTTGTGGGCCTTTCAGGTCACCTACTTTTGGCGCGGAAACATCCATATCACCCTTTAATGATGGCCCTTTTAGGCTCAAGTCAAAATCTGGAATTGAAACCTTTGGTGCCTCAATGTCCAATCCAGGAGCTCCAATATCTGCTTTAGGACCTGAGATGTCAAGGCTGCCCTGGGGAAGACTGATGTCGACATCAGGAATGTCAGATTTCAAGCTGGGCATGCCAAATTTAGGCATTTTCAATTTGGGCATTTTGAGTTCAGGCCCATGAAGGTCAACATCTGGTGCTACAAGGTCTACTTTAGGAGCCTTGATGTCCACTCCCTTCAGTTCTCCTTCCATTCTTGGTATGGAAACACCCATGTCCCCCTTGACTTTGGGGCCTTTCAAATTTAGGTCAATGTCTGGAATGGAGATTTGTGGAGTTTTGATATGAGGCCCTTTCAGTTGACCTGAAGGACCTTTGACACCAATGTCAGGAGCAGCAATGTCTACTTTGGGGCCTTTGAGGTCTATCTGTGGGCCCTTCAGGCTGCCTTCTAGTTTGGGCACAGAAACATCCATGTCACCTTTTAATGATGGTCCTTTCAGGCTCAGGTCAACATCTGGAACTGAAAACTTTGGTGCCTCCACATGTAGTCCTGGCATCTTGACTTTGGGACCTTTAATTTTGCCTTCTGGTGCTTCAATGTCCAATCTTGGGGCTGCAAAATCTACTTTAGGAGCAGAGAAGTCAAGGCTGCCCTGGGGAAGATTGATGTCGACATCAGGAACGTCAGGTTTCAAGCTGGGCACACCAAATTTAGGCATTTTCAATTTGGGCATTTTGAGTTCAGGCCCATGAAGGTCAACATCTGGTGCTACAAGGTCTACTTTAGGAGCCTTGATGTCCACAGCTGGGCCCTTCAGTTCTCCTTCCACTCTTGGCATGGAAACACCCATGTCCCCCTTGACTTTTGGGCCTTTCAAATTTAGGTCAATATCTGGAATGGAGATTTGTGGGGCTTTGATATGAGGCCCTTTCAGTTGACCTGAAGGACCTCTGAGGCCAATGTCAGGAGCAGCAATGTCCACTTTGGGGCCTTTGAGGTCTATCTGTGGCCCCTTCAGGTCACCTCCTAGTTTGGGCACAGAAGCATCCACATCACCCTTTAATGATGGCCCTTTCAGGTTCAGGTCAAAATCTGGAATTGAAACCTTTGGTGCCTCAATGTCCAATCCAGGAGCTTTTATATCTACATTAGGACCTGAGATGTCAAGGCTGCCCTGGGGAAGACTGATGTCGACATCAGGAATGTCAGGTTTCAAGCTGGGCATGCCAAATTTAGGCATTTTCAATTTGGGCATTTTGAGTTCAGGCCCATGAAGGTCAACATCTGGTGCTACAAGGTCTACTTTAGGAGCCTTGATGTCCACAGCTGGGCCCTTCAGTTCTCCTTCCACTCTTGGCATGGAAACACCCATGTCTCCTTTGACTTTGGGGCCTTTCAAATTTAGGTCAATGTCTGGAATGGAGATTTGTGGAGTTTTGATATGAGGCCCTTTCAGTTGACCTGAAGGACCTTTGACGCCAATGTCAGGAGCAACAATGTCTACTTTGGGGCCTTTGAGGTCTATCTGTGGGCCCTTCAGGCTGCCTTCTAGTTTGGGCACAGAAACATCCATGTCACCTTTTAATGATGGCCCTTTCAGGCTCAGGTCAACATCTGGAATCTTTGGTGCCTCCACATGTAATCCTGGCATCTTGACTTTAGGGTCCTTAATTTTGCCTTCTGGTGCTTCAATGTCCAATCTTGGGGCTGCAATGTCTACTTTAGGAGCAGAGAAGTCAAGGCTGCCCTGGGGAAGATTGATGTCGACATCAGGAATATCAGGTTTCAAGCTGGGCACACCAAATTTAGGCATTTTCAATTTGGGCATTTTGAGTTCAGGTCCATGAAGGTCAACATCTGGTGCTACAATGTCCACTTTAGGAGCCTTGATGTCCACAGCTGGGCCCTTCAGTTCTCCTTCCACTCTTGGCATGGAAACACCCATGTCCCCCTTGACTTTGGGGCCTTTCAAATTTAGGTCAATGTCTGGAATGGAGATTTGTGGAGTTCTGATATGAGGCCCTTTCAGTTGATCAGAAGAACTCTTGATGCCAACGCCACGAGCAGCAATGTCCACTTTGGGGCCCTTGATGTCAATCTGTGGGCCCTTCAGGTCACCTTCCAATTTGGGCATGGAAACATCCACATCACCCTTTAATGATGTCCCTTTTAGACTCAAGTCAACGTCTGGCCCAGCCCCTTTGATTGGGGTTGTTTTCACTGAGGGCATGGAGATACCTGGACCTTTTAATGGTCCACCAAGGTCAACACTGGGGCCCTCAATACTCATACTAGGCCCTTTCAAGTCCCGTTCAAACTTTGGCCCTGAAAAATGTATAGCTCCTTTTCCTTTGGAACTTTTAAGGTTCAAGTCAATATCTGACATAGAGATTTGGGGTGTCTGTCCACTAATCTCAGTCCCTCCTTTTGGAACACTGATATCTGCTGCAGGGCCCGAAACAGAAAATTTAGGAATATCCATGTGGGGTATTTTAAACTTTGCTTCACTCTCTTGAAGGCCAATGTCTGGAGCCTCAAAATCTACCTTAGATTTCACCCCACCTTTCAAATCCAGTCCTTTTACACCCATATCCAATTTTGGTTCTGGTATTCCTCTGCTTGTTACGCCTTTGGGGCCCTCTGGAAACCCTCCTGGGGTTTTGATGGTCACTGATGGAGCTGTTGCAGTCATTTGAGGAACTTCAATGTCACCACCTGGAGATGATATTCCAAATTTGGGCATCCTCATTGCAGGGAATGCAAGTTGTCCTTTGCTTTCATCACCGAGACCTGGACTTGTCATTTTGCCTTCAGTGCCTGAGGGAGGGACTTTGACCCCTATGTCCTGCAACCCTCCCCATTCTCCTTTCATTTTAGGACCTTTGAGATCGAACTGCAACTGTTCTCCTGTTTTCCCATTGATTTCAGGGCTGGTGAAGTCTGTCTGACCTCTCAGATCTATGCCCTTGACCTCGGAGACTTGGATATCAGTTTTCCCCACCTTTGGCTGCCCCACAAGGGTATCGGGAACACCTGCCTCCCATGTTCTGGAAGGCAAGTCAATAGCTGGTCCAGAAGATGTCACATCATAAAATTTCCCTCCTTCGTGGGAGACTTTTCCATAGCTGGGCCTCCCGGGCAAATCCACGTGTGGGATCTTGATGACAGTTTTCCCCGGCTCTGATTCAATTCCAACTTTAGAAATCTGGCTAAGTTCATGTTTAGGAATTTTGATCTTAAACTCAGGACTGCTGATGTCAATCTCTTTGGCACCTTCAGGGCCGGTAACATCGACAGTGTAAGCCGTGACTCTTTTGGTGACTGTGATGGTCCTGCTTTGAGTTCCTGCATGCTCAACTTCCACGCCGTCTTCTGACTTAAGGCGAGGTTTAATTTTTGTGGTGTAAATCCGCTGGTATTCTTCATCGTCTCCACTCTGAAAAGGAAAAGAATTGTGTCATCAAACGTTCTGCTCAGACTGCTGCGCTTCTACAGGCAATCATGGAGAGCAGTCTGCATCAAAACAACATCCCAAAATGTCTACAGCAGTGGTTCTCAACCTTTCTAATGCCGCGACCCCATAATGCAGTTCCCCATGTTGTGGTGACCCCCAACCACTTATACATCACTGGGTGCCAGGGGCGTGGCCAAAGAAAAGGGGGGAAAAATGGCGGACAGCCTTGTTTGGCGACCCCCGTGAAATGGTTGTTCGACCCCAAATGGGGTCCCGACCCACAGGTGGAGAACCACTGGTCTACAGTGACAAGTCTCATCATTTCACTTCAAATATTCTTATTTAAAATATAGAATAATAGAGTTGGAAGAGACCCTATTGGTCCCGTAAAATAATAGGGTTGGAATGAAAAGTTGGGAGGTCTTCTAGTCCAGGGCTTTTCAACCAGTGGTACAGGTACCACCATGTACCACAGGTGGTACGCGACCATCCTAGAAAAGTAGCAGGGGAATGAGCTGAACCGGTGGCAGCACCGCACAAGCCTGAGCGAGAGATGGCTGGAGCTGCAGGGCTGTCAGGGCTCAGCGGAAGCGCCAGGATCAGTGCCAGGCTCCAACTGGAGCTTGGCGCTGATCCTGGCGCTTCTGCTGAGCCCTGGAGAAGCGCCGATCAGCTGCAATGTTGCAGCATCTCCAGGGTCTTGTGATTTACATTCAGATGCTTGGCAACTGATTCATATTTATGATGGTCACAGTGTCCCAGGGTCTTGTGAAGTGACCAAAACCTGCTGCAACCACCCAGCAGTTGGGGGGAATAAAAACCAAACACTCCCTCACTCCATCCCCGCTGCCAATCCTCAACAGAAACGCTCACAAAAATGAAAACCTCGGACAGGAGGAAGAGCGTGGCCGGGTGGGCAGACAGGTGTCTTGCTCGGCTGTGGCTTGGGGGGCACTTTTTTCAGTGCCATTGTAACTTCAAATAGTCACTAAGTGAACTGTTGTAAGTCGAGGACTACCTGTACTTTTATCACTTTTTTCCCTTTTTTGGGGGTCAAGTTTTTGACACCTTGCTAGGTGACTGGTGGTACTCGGCTGTTGCTGTATCCTAAAAGTGGTACAATGGGTGAAAAGGTTGAAAAGCCCTGTTCTAGTCCAATCCCTTGCTCAAGCAGGAGACCCTGCACTATTCTGGACAAATGAATGTCCACTCTCTTCCTGAAAATCTCTAGTGATGGAGCACTCACTCAATTAACCAGTGTACGGCTTCTGGAGGGAAGCCGTACACTGGTTAATTGTACTCACTGTCAGGAAGTTTCTCCTTAGTTCTAGGTTGCTTCTCTCCTTAATTAGTTCCCATCCGTTGCTTCTCGTCCTGCCTTGTGGTGCTTTAGAGAATAGGTCAACCTATTCTCTATTTCTCTATGACAGCCCCTCAAATATTGGAAAGCTGCTACCATGTCACCCCGGGCCTTCTTTTCACTAGAGTAGACCCATCCAATTAAAAATGTTCATCGAAATATTGTGGAAAAGGAAAGGACTCTTACGAATTCCAGAGGGTTTTAGCAGAGAGATTTATTGCGCAGGTTCAGAAGCAATAGCAACGAGCAATTCTGAACCCCGAGGGAAAGAAGGGAGAGAAGAAGGAGCGTGTGGATACAGTGAGAGGGGAAATGGGCGAGCAACACCAAAAGTCATGTGTATGTATGCATTTCATTTTATTAAAAGTATCTTATATATAAGAATGTAAAAAGAATGCATGTTAACATCTGATAAATATCACGGTATATGCATGGGGGAGAATTTGGAAAAATAAAAAATTATTAAAAAAACCCAAGTAGCTGTCCTGTCTCTTCTTAAAAACTTCCAGTGTTGGACCACCCACAACTTCTGAAGGCCAGCTTGTTCTACTGGTTAAGTGTTCTCATTGTCAGGAAATTTCTCCTTAGTTCTAGTTCAGTGGTTCTCCACCTGTGGGTCGGGACCCCATTTGGGGTCGAACGACCATTTCACGGGGGTCGCCAAACAACGCAGTCCGCCATTTTTTTCCCTTTTCCTTAGCTGTGCTCCTCCCTTTTATTCTATTGGCTTTTGAAAGCCAATAGAATAGACTCTCTTGAATAGAGTCTAATTCTATTGGCTTTCAAAAGCCAATAGGAATTGTCCAGGCTGTCTCTGCCCTGCTGAGCCCGCCAAAAGTCCCATTCTGCAAACGGTGCTGCACCAGTTGAGTAGTCCTCGACTTATGACTGGTTGAGCAGTCCTCGACTTATGACCGGTTGGGGATCGCGGCATTAAAAAGGTTGAGAACCACTGTTCTAGTTCAATCTCAAACGTGAGCACGCTTGACCTAGAATTAAGCAAGGCACCCAAGAACAACAGGGAAACTGGGATTGTTGTTTTCCTTAAATATTCCACACATAGACATTTCTTCCATTCTTCTTCTTTTCACACATACTCACCAAAACAACTTCTGGGCTCCTTGGAGCAAACACGTCGTAGGAGCCAGCCTGCCCTGGCAACGGAGAACGGTCTCCTTTCCTCTGTAGCCGCAGGCCCACTGGGTGATGACCCACATTTTTAAGGAGCTCCGTGACCTCCCTTGAGGGCACGTTGTCAAAATAGATGGTGGCGCTCACAATCTGGTCTCCTGCAGAAAGAGAAAAGCGGGGATTCTGTTGTTAGATCATTAGGAAGAGCTTAAAAAGACATCAAGGAAGGGTGGAAAGGATACCATAGTTGGAAAGGATCTTGGGGGTCTTCTAGTCAGCTCAAGGTAGGAGACCTTACTCCATCCCAGACGATGGATGTCCAATCTCTTCTTGAAGACCTCCAACAATGGAGCACCCACAATTTCTGGAGGCAAGTCGTTCCACTGATTAATTGTTCTCACTGTCAGCAAATGTCTCCTTCGTTCCAGGTTGCTTCTCTCTTTGATAAGTTTCCACTTTTTGCCCTGCCCACAGGTGCTTTGGAGAATAGGCTGACTCCCTCTTCCCTGTGACAACCTTTCAAATATTGGAAGATGCTATCCTGTCACCCCTAGTCCTTCTTTTCATTAAACTTCTTTTCATTAATCATACCCAATTCCTAGACGTTCTTCACCCCCTAATCAGCTTTCTTCTCTTTCTAGAGCAGTGGTTCTCAACCTGTGAGTCGGGACCCCATTTGGGGTCGAACGACCATTTCGCGGGGGTCGCCAAACAACGCAGTCCGCCATTTTTTCCCCCTTTTTCCTTAGCTGTGCTACTCCCTTTTATTCTATTGGCTTTTGAAAGCCAATAGAATAGACTCCTTGAATAGAGTCTAATTCTATTGGCTTTCAAAAGCCAATAGGAATTGTCCAGGCTGTCTCTGCCCTGCTGAGCCCGCCAAAAGTCCCATTCTGCAAACGGTGCTGCACCAGTTGAGTAGTCCTCGACTTACAACTGGTTGAGTAGTCCTCGACTTACGACCGGTTGGGGGGTCACAGCATTAAAAAGGTTGAGAACCACTGGTCTAAGGACATCCAACCTTTTCTATCACCGCTTAATAAACATCCTTCATTTGCAATGAAAAGAAGGCCTAGGGCAGTGATGGCGAACCTTTTTAGAGACCGAGTGCCCAAACTGCAACCCAAAAACCCACTTATGCATCGTCGAGTGCCGGGTGGATGTGGCCCATTGGGTGGGCGTGGCCCATTGACTGGGTGTGGCCAATTTGGGGGGTGTGGCCTATTGGGTGGGCGTGGCTGCGGTGGTAACGGCAGACTGGGTGGGACTAAAAAGTTCAATCAATCAATTCCAACTTTGCGAGATCTTTTTTTCCCCCGCAAGAAGTTGAAATTGATTGATTGAATGAACTTTTTTTTTGCACACAGCGGTGGAGGCCTAAAGCAAAAAAGTTTTATAAAACCCAGCTGAAGGCCTAGGACTGGGGCGACGGCGCGCGTGCCCACAGAGAGGGCTCTCCGTGCCACCTGTGGCACGTGTGCCATAGGTTCGCCACCACGGGCCTAGGGGGTGACATGATAGCAGTCTTCAAGTATTTGAGGGGCTGCCACAAAGAAGAGGAGGGGGTCCACCTATTCTCCAAAGCCCCCGAAGGTAGGACAAGAAGCAACTAATGGAAACTAATCAAGGAGAGAAGCAACCTGGCATTAAGGAGCAATTTCCTGAGGACGATTAACCAGTGGAACAGCCTGCCTCCAGAAGTTGTGGATGCTCCATCAATGGAGGCTTTTAAGAAGAGATTCGACATTTGTCCAAAATAGTTTAGGGTCTTCTGTTTGTGCAGGCAGTTGGACTAGAAGACCTCCAAAATCCCTTCCAACTCAGTTATTCCTTTGTTCTGCAGAGGCCCCAAGATTGTTTCACTAACCTTCCTGTACAATTCCTGTCTTGGCGACTGGCGAGTCCTGTTGGATCTGCTTCACGAAGACACCTTCATCCGTCTCTTTGATGGTAATACCATGAGAGCTGTCTTGCCAATCAGGGAGTAAGATCTCCCGGGTACTATCTTCTTCCTTCTCCATCTTAGACACAAAAACAAGCGGCTGTAAATCTCCCAGGCTTAAAGATTAAAACAAGGAGAAATCCTGTTCAAGATATATTCCAATGGCACAGCTCTGGAAACTGATCTAATCATGTGACCACGGGGAGGCTGCAATGGTCATAAGTGTGAAAACCGGTCATAAGTCATTTTTTTTCAGTGCTGTTTTAACTTTGAATGATCACTGTCTGAATAGTTGTAAATCGAGGACTAACGGTAACATAGGCCAACTGGACCTCAGACCCGTTCAAGAAATCTGATTTAAATCTTCACCACCTTTCCACCTCCCATGGCTGCTGGGATGATAACTTGCAGCATCCCGAAATGGCAGTGATCCAAAATAATCATTGGGATCGGCCCTTCCTATTGGTGGACTCAAGTTCTGACATCACAATCTGAATTATAATGCAAGTAAAGAAACACATTAAAACGACGTATTAAAGAAACACTGTAACCACTACGGCAGTGTTTCTCAATGATGGCAACTTGAAAGTTATGTGGACTTCAACTCCCAGAATTCTTGGCTGGCTAGGGATTCTGGGAGTTGAAGTCCACACATCTTCAAGTTGCCAAGGTTGGGAAATGCTGCATTAAGGCAAGACAAATATGCATTCCCAAGATGTTAAGCTGCCTTCCAGACACCCCTATCCCTATCCCTATTAGGGAGCTTCTTAAATGAATTTCCAGGGTGTGTCTCTTCTGCTTAGCAAACCACAGAATGCAGCAGCCTAACTAGATTCCTGAAATAATTTTGCAAAACCATCAGCGTTTACAAAGTGGACCGCAGAGGCATTTCTGCAGGAAATAATGTTGTGGTTGAGACGGGCCCAAACTTTTTTTTTTTTTTTAAATGTTAGCCAAACTTCAGAAATTCTAGTAGTTAACAGGAAGGAGATGGGTGGAAAGAGATACAGATAATTATATAACCATAAAGATACTACGCAGATAAAATTACTTTTGGCTGAATCAAATGTAATGGTTTATATGTAGTCAAGGTACTCCTTGACTGACCATAACTGGAACTAGACGTTCCATTGCTAAGCAATGTGGTTGTTAAGTGAGCCATCTCGTGATCATGGCTGATTTTATGACCTATTTTTGCCATAGTTGTTAAGCAAATCACTGCAGTTATTAAGTGAGTCACGCAGCCATTAAGACAATCTGGCTTCCCTCATTGACCTAACCCTAACCCTAACCCAAAATTTATGTTGCTAAGTGAAAAATTTGTTGAGTGAGTTTTGCCCCGTTTGACCACTTTTCTGGCCACAGTTGTTAAGTGAGTTGTTAAATTAGTAACATGGTAAGTGAATCTGGCTTCCTTCCATTGACTTTACTTGTCAAAAGGTCACAAAAGGGGATCACGTGATCCCGGGACGCTGCAACCGTCATAAATGTGAATCAGTTGTCAAGCATCCGAATGTAAATCACATGACCATGGGGATATTGCAACGGTCATAAGTGTGAAAAATGGTGGTAAATCACTTTTTTCAGTGCTGTCGTAACTTCAGTCACTAAGTGAACTGTTATAAGTCGAGGACTACCTATATATGCCGATTCCCAAGCCCCCCCAAATTCTGACTGGGTGACCGCAGAGAATGCTGCAGCAGTTGTAAGCATGAGAACTGGTTGTAAGTCAGCTTTTGCAAGCACCATTGTAACTTACATCAGCCACTAAATGAATGTTCGTAAGTCGAGGCCTACTTGGATTGTGGATTCATCTGATGATTAAGGAAACATGACATGAGAAGATAAAGTAGGGGGGTGGTTCCCACAATATGCTAAGCCAGAAAGCAGAATCACAATACTCTACATCCATCTGAGATTAGCATGTTGGACAAACCTTGCTTGTGAACCCTAAACTGAATTTCTGCATTCTGCACCCAGTACCTTTTTTTAAAAAAAAACCACTTTTGCTTTGCACCAGCTTCTTATTCGCTCAATAACCAGGGAGATTAAGTGCTGCAAATTGACACATGTGCATAGCTCTTCCTTTTTGCAAAAACCAAAACCTTTCACATTTACTCACCAGTTGGCATCAGATCCCTTGGAGCCAAGTTTGACACCAGTTTTATGATTCTTCCCTGATTTTCCCCGTCTAATCCATAGCTTTGGGATTCCTTTGATCCGGGTATAAACAAGGTTACTTGTTTATACCCGGGTCAAAGGGTATCTTTGCTGACACTTGCTGACACTTGGATAAATGCCTTTAAAGCATTTGTATTGGCCAGCAAACCTATCCACAACATGCACCAATGGAATGTGTTGAAAAATTAAATTCATTAAGGTAGAAATTACAATTTGCCAGGATGATGTATTACAACTACAGAGTACCTAAAAAAATGTTCTAATCTAGTGTTTTTCAACCTTGGCCACTTTACGATGGGTGGATTTCAACTCCCAGAGTTCCCCAGCCAGCACAGTCATAAATAAACATATATAGTCATAAATGTTATGATTTTTTCTGCCATGGTATCAAATCACTGCAAATTCACTGTTCAGTGAATCAGTTTGACTTTGTTTGTCAAGACAATAGATTTGAGCCGTGTTCCTCAACTTAAGCACTCACAACTCACTCCTTGCTTAGCAACGGGAATTCTGCTCCTAATTGTGGTCATGTCAAGGACTGCCTCTACTGCTGTTTCTAAAAGGTAGAGGGAAATAGGAATCGCTGAACAGTCTCCAACCTTGCTAGGACTTTGCTCCAGGTAGGATCCGCCCCAGGAATTCAGCACTTCTCACTTGCCAATCCTTTTCGTATTATGTTCGTTCCAACTTCACAACCTAGGAAAGAGATTAAAACTTCTGGTGAATAAAAATCACTCTCAATGTTTCTGAAACCTTGAATGCCAGAATTTTACCAAGCACACAACTTGGCAGCCTGTTGTGCCAGCTTTATTTTACTATTTTATTGTACCTTTACTATTTTATTAATTTTTTTAATGCTGCCAGTACTCTGTAAGGTGACAGCTTTTATTTTCTAAGCCCTTCTACATCTTTCTTTTTCTATTAAAAGCAGAAATATTTCCTCCATATCTGCACAAGTTTTAAGTGTACCAATATTTCCTCATGATATCTCTAACGCCAACTTCTTTTTTTCCCAGGATTGTAAAAGACACAAAATGGTTTTATAAGTGGCAGCTTTGGCAATCAGCTTAACAAAGCGTGCTGTGTAGTTCAAAAGCTTGCACATTCTTCGCTAAAACCAGCTGGCTGCACAAAAGACACTTTCAATTCCCAATGGATCCGTTGGCCTTCTCCCCAAGAAAATACTTCTACAGCTAATGTTTACATGTCACCAGAATGAGTTTTGTCAGCACAAATCTATCTCATCCCACAGTCTCCATTCAGAAAACACTCCCTATATATTCATATCAAGCAATTATTAATCATTAATATCTGATAAGGATTCTAAAGTTTACATGTCATCGTGAACACGCGCTTACTCTTTGCATCAATTCTTAGATTGATGTATGCTGTATAGAAAAGGAGGGATTTGGAGCTACAGCAGTGGTTCTCAACCTTTTTAATGCCGCGACCCCCAACCAGTCGTAAGTTGAGGACTATTCAACCGGTCGTAAGTCGAGGACTACTCAACTGGTGCAGCACCGTTTGCAGACTGGGACTTTTGGCGGGCTCAGCAGGGCAGAGACAGCCTGGACAATTCCTATTGGCTTTTGAAAGCCAATAGAATTAGACTCTATTCAAGAGAGTCTATTCTATTGGCTTTCAAAAGCCCATAGAATAAAAGGGAGTAGCACAGCTAAGGAAAAGGGGGGGAAAAATGGGGGACTGCATTGTTTGGCGACCCTCGTGAAATGGTCGTTCGACCCCAAATGGGGTCCCGACCCACAGGTTGAGAATCACTGAGCTACAGGATAGATAGCTTCAGCTGATTTTATTACAATACAATTTGCAAAACAGGTACCGGTAGTCCTCACCTTACGACCAGAACCAAGTCCAAAATTTCTGTTGATAAGCGAGACAGTTCTTAAGTGAGTTTTGCTTCAGTTTATTTCTTGCCACAGTTGTTAAGTGAATCACTGCAGCTGTTAAGTTACTATAACACGGTCGTTAAGTGAATCTGGCTTCCCCATTGACATTGCTTGTCAGAAGGTTGCAAAAGGGAATCACATAACCACGGGTCATTGCGACCGTCATAACTGCGAATCAGTTGCCACGCATCAGAACTTTGATCACGTGACCACGGGGATGCTGTGATGGTCATAAATGTGAAAAACAGTCGTAAGTCACTCTTTTTAGTGCTTTGTAACTTCGAACAGTCACTAAGCAAACTGTTGTAAGTCGAGGAGTACGTATACTATCGACGAAGGTCAAAATGGATTTTTTTTCCCTACCTAGGTAACACACAGCTAAATTTGTTCTCTTTAGTTCAGTGTTTTTCAACCTCTGGAGCTTGAAGACTTCCAACTCCCAGAATTCCCAGGCAGCCATGTTGAGAGACTGAATTAGTATAAGTCACAAAACACTCGTGTTAAACTAAGCTTAGTTTTCAGGGTTAGTATGTGGTGTGAACCCCCTTGGTTTGGTTACTTGACGATTCAATATACGATGCAAAACTGGAAAGTGGAATAATTCAGAAAGTAATTTAAGCATGGGCTGTGAAGGGACTCAGGTTATTTCTTTTAAGGTGACCAACTGTCCTCCTTTACGGAAGACAGTTCTCCTTTTGTGAGTTCTGTCCTCCCTCAAAAAGTGTCCTCCTTCATGTCCTCCTTTTCGATATTTGAAGACTAATCTGCAAGGCTTTTTTTTTGCCCTCATAGAACGCTCAGAACGGCATTCCGGCACCTTTTTTGATGGTTTTTTTTCACCTTTTGCATGAGCTGTGCTACTCCCACTATTGGCTTTTGAAAGCCAATAGGAATTGCGGCTGAGCAAGCCAAAACACCCAAGCTGGCAAACTTTGCACCTGCAAGTTGTCTGTATTATTGTTGCAATGAATAAAATGTTTCTTTTATTTACGATATTTTTTTTTCTTCAATTTATTTGTGTCCTCCTTTTCATTGTGAAAAAGTTGGTCGCCTTATTTCTCTGTTTACCGGTACTCTAACCAATCTGAAACAAAGTTTTTTTCCTAAACGCAAATCCCTAAATCCCTTCCTTGCAGAAAAACAGGTACCAATCAAACAAGGGGCTGCCCCAAAGAAGAGGGAGTCAAGCTATTCTCCAAAGCGCCTGAAGGCAGGACAAGAAGCAACGGGTGGAAACTAATCAAGGAGAGAAGCAACCTAGAACTACGGAGAAACTTCCTGACAGTGAGAACAATTAATCAGTGGAACAGCTTGCCTCCAGAAGCAGTAAATGCTCCAACACTGTAAGTTTTTAAGAAGAGACTGGACAGCCATTTGTCCGAAATGGTGTAGGGTTTCCTGCCCGAGCAGGGGGTTGGACTAGATGACCTCCAAGGTCCCTTCCAACTTTACTATTATTATTATTATTATTATTAATAATATTTGCTCATTTCCAGCAGCGGACTCTGGTGCCAAACCAGGAATATTTTTTACTGCTAGTTGCCGAGATGTCATGTTTTCATTGCTATTACTATAATGCCAAGATTACATAACAGCTTTCCCTGGCTTGCTGCAAAATTGATAAATCACATTTTTAGCTTCAAACAGGTTGAAACCTAAATTCACTCCAAGAAGGATGTTTACACAACCCGTTGCTCCTCAGGGAAGAAAAAAAAAAAGCCAAACCCACTTTAAAACTCACCAAACTTATGCTATTGTGAGGAAGTGGCCCCTGGATCTTAAATGAGACGGTTTATAGCATGTTGTGTGAACCGAGCTGAGTTAACATGGCTTGCAAGACACCAGAAGATTTGCATGCGGGGGAAAAAAACTGAAGCCCCCTCCTCTTTGGATGCTGGGTGGTTTTCTAAATTGGTTGGGCAATCACTGTCCCCAGAGGATGAGCATGCAAAGTATGGTACAAATGCCTGAGGAATCTCAAGCTTGTATTCCTCTTGCCTCTGCAGAACCGACTGTTAGAACAAGCAACTTTAATGACTGAAGAATTAATGGCAGCAATTCACACCTTGTCCAAAGCTGTGGTTGGTTTAAATTTTCAGGGGTTCTCAACCTTGGCAACTTTAAGACTTGTGGACTTCAACTGGCTGAGGAATTCTGGGAGTTGAAGTCCACAAGTCTTATAGTTGCCAAGGTTGAGAACCCCTGGTTTAACTCACTCTGATTGGTTTCAATAAGCCACAATTGGCTGGAAAAGCATCCAAACACTCAACCACCGCCATGGTTTATCTACCACCATGGTTGGCTTTCCAACTGCCAATCTCCATACAAGTAGTCCTTGTTTAACGACCGCCTCGTTTAGTGTCCATCTTTGCAGCCACAACAGGGATGAAAAAGTAATTTTGCAACTATCCTCATGTTTATGATCTTTGCTGATCTGTAGGGCAGCAAAAAGCTGAAGTCAGATCCTAAACATGGCTGCAATTTCACTTAGTGACTACTTTGCTTGACAACCGAGTTGTTGGTCCAAATGATGGTCGCTAAATGAGGACGACCTGAATGGCTTCAACCAGAGAGACAAACAGGACAATAGGAAGAGTGATACCATCCTTTTGCAGGCAAATACTCTTAAATACAGGTAATGCTGGAACTCATGGCCAGTTGCTTTGCGTCCATTTAAAGTTACGATGGACCTTCCCAGGGCTACCTCGGACCTAGATTCAAAATTCTGACAGCCATTACATTTGGGATGCTTGGCAACTGGCTCCCATTTATGGCTGTTTGAGCATCCTGTGGTCACGTAGCCATGTTTTGCCCCAAACTGACTTTGAAATCCAGTTTCCAGCAAAAACCACAGAGGACATGAATGCAATGTTCGCTTTGCAACTGCTACATTCGCTTAATGACTACTGAGGAAAAAAGTTGTATAATTTGGCATGCTCACATGCTCCCCCGCTTAATGGCCACCACAACCTACTATCATAATTCCAGACTCAATTATGGTTGTACATTGAGGATGTCCCATATATGTTTTTTTTTTTACCTCCCAGGCAAGGAATATTTGGTAATCTTGCAGCCCACCACAAATCGGCTTAGTTCGGCCTTTCGGATCTGGGGGTCCTCAAGATGGGCAAGTTTCATTTACCACAATCCTCCCCAATGGCTGTGCTGGCTGAGGAATTCTGGGAATTGGTCCACCTATCTGGAAGGGCTCTTAATCAGGGAATGCTGATGAGCTAGCTGGATTCCGGACCTCTGTTCAAGTTGATTTCTGACTTTTTAAAATGCAGGTCGTCCTTGACCTACAACCACAATGGAGCCCAAAATTTCTGATGCTAGATGAGACGGTGGGTAAGTGAGATTTGCCTCATTATATGACTTTTCTCGCCGCAGGTCTTAAGTGAATCACTGCAGTTGTTAAGTTAGTGAATCTGGCTTTCCCATCAACTTTGCTTGTCAAAAGGTCTCAGAAGGTGATTTCACGGCCCTGCAACCGTCATAAACATGAGCCAGTTGCCAAGCTCCACGTGACCACGGAGATGCTGCAATGGTTCATAAGTGTGAAAAACGGACACTTTTTCCCGTGCCGTTGTAACTTCGAATCGTTGTTACTATTGTAAGTCGAGGACTAACCTGTCAAGTGCAAGTAAGTTGACAACCCACCCAAACGATCCGACTAACATTTTGGAGAGTCTTAAAGTTTGGCAACTTTTAAGACTTGGGGACTTCAATACCCAGAATTCCCCAGCCAGTGGCCAAAGTTGGACATCTCTGTTTTAGTGGCTGCCACCA